AACTAGAACCCGTTCGGTTTGGTTGGATTGGGACCAGTATTGAAGTTTTCGGTGGCGTGGGACGGAACACAAACCTGCGAATTTCCCCGGATTTGCCATCGGAATCACGGGGAAGATGCGGTGGCGACATGTAAGCGGAGGCCAGCCACAGCGCAACGATCCATGGCAACAGAAAGGCATGAAGTCTCAAGACACAAACATCTGATGATTGATACGTGGACGGCTTCATGCTGTCAGAATGGTTTCTTGTTAACATTGTTTCCATTGTTCGCAGGGCGGCAGCGTTGTCTACGCTATCGTCGCCACATTCAGCTCCAGCTTCTGCCTCTGCTTTCTCACAATATGCACGATGGAATTGCGCGCATGCCTTTGGTTGTTGAGCCTACATGTGCACGATCAACGTAGCCCATGAAACATATCCACTCTGGTTTGAGCACCTCTTCTGGTTGCCGAGTGCGTTGCAATCACTCAACTTCAAGGTGTCATATTCTTTCAGCGCCGTCCCCCACAGATGAACAACGTGATCGTGAATGTCTGCCCCTACATGAAACTTGCCACAGCGAAAGAACCTCCCCTGATCCTCCTTAGTTGCCTATTCGTAGTTGCAAGCATTGCCTCCGCCAGGCGGAGCTTCGAGTGCTGATGGATATCCAGTCCCTAACTTCGAATTGACCTGGAATGCTTTCGGGGCGAGTGGCGCTCAATTTCAAGCCTATGGAATGTTCCATGAATGGCGGATGTAAGTAGAATATCTGGGCCGCCAAAGAAAGTGATTCGGCGCATGTCACCACTGATCGATGCAAAAGTGACTCTCATTTCTTCCGGCATGGTCTTACCGCCGTTCAAAGAGGCCAGCTCCCGCGTCACCAATGTCCCAACTCCTCTGGTTTATCATGTAGACCAAGAGAGCTGGTGTATAGCAATAGAGGCCGAGCACATCGTGCTATCGTAAAAAGCGTACGGTTGAACTAAGTGTCGAAAACGCATCCAACCTCGCAGAACAGTTTGGCCCCTGTGGCCCTCGTTCACTGCAAAAAAGATTCTCGTCTCATGTTGAAGGTGCAATTTTTGGTTTGGGTCCGGCAGGAGAACGTGCTCCTTGGTATCCACTACACGTGGTACAACCTGTGACTGACCCTCTGCCTTTCGCTCAGTCAAGACTTGCCGCGGGAAAATCGCATCAATAAGGCGATTGCATGTGGCGGTAACGAACAAAGACGGACGGCCATGTCCCCGTGCCAGGTTCGTTGAGTCCTCTCAATCGATATACTTTGAAACAGTAGCAAAACTCTCGGTGGAAGATAGCGGGGAAAATGATCAAGGTGCTGGCGTCCGTCACACAGTCACCTTCGGCATGAAGATCGTTCGAAGTGCAAAAGTGTCAAACCGCGCAAAAAGAAAATGCCAAGTGAAGATGGGTGAACCTGAATCGAAGCTGTGGGAGAATCACAATTGAGCGGCACAATGCAGCCAAGCAAGAGAAAAGCGCCTGGCAAAAAGGGAAGTTACGGCCACAGCACCACTCAGCAAAATTTGGGAGACCCATCCCACAGAGACTGACCAGTGGCCACAATCTCGCCAACTTGCAGCCAAACATTTACCTTAGCAACTCGATACACCATCAGCAAATTGTTCCTCCCTGGCAGAAGCAGCAGGGGAATGCGCTCATGCACACTGTGTCCAGCCTACGGGCCCTTTCGGGGATTGGTGTTGGAGAAGACATCGTGACGACGTCACCGTCACGTCACCATTCGATTCAGCACACCCAAATCCCGTTGAAAAAAAAAAACCCCCAGAAAACCCACTCCATCCCACCCCCACCCAGCACAAGAAAAAGGCACTGGGCAGCGGGGTCACTAGTGCCGACATACATACAAGAGTACCTCGCTCAGGCTGGATGCGCCGGTCGCGTGCACGGGTTGAGCAGAGGTCCATATGGAGTCCAAAGTGGTCAAAGTGGGCGTCGCGCGAGGTGAAGCGGCATGCGCTCGGCTCCGAACTTGCGGCGAGCAGGCAGGAGCAGGCAGACGAACTGGAGGAGAGCACGCGCCCGCCCAAGCAAATAACGCAACCGACGCAGTGCCGAGTAACTGCCGACAATAACCTGGTGAAGTTAGGTAAGCGCGCCGGTGCCGTCCGCCTGCCTGCATCTCGCCTACTAAGTGGGCGCCCATACCCGCGGCTTACAGCCTTTCCCTAAGCTAGCCAAAGTGGCCCTGCAGGCAGGCCTACAGCTACTGTGAGGCCTTCTTGCTACGCGCGTCGCAAGAATGAGACTGCAAACGAGACGCCTTGCAAGTGCAGCTCGAGACCGATCCTCAAGCTCACGTGACATTCCATTCCTCATCTCCATTTCTCCAAAGCTCGCAACTCATTGTGACACTTTCAAAGAATGGTCAGAATCCGCGACCTTGCCGCCCGCTTCCGGCTGACCGGCTCTTTTATGATTGATCATTGCTCTGAGGTAGTCGAATCGATCTAAGAGGAACTTGCACCCTGCTTGCAAAGCCGGACGCCACCATCCCAGCCCCGGTAATAACAACAAGTTTCGCTTAGGCAGTGGATACCAGCAAGCCGCCAAATGGGAGACCCGTTGCTTTGTTGCGTGCACACTCCAACTTTATTGACGCAACCTTTTGACTGTCCCCTCGATGATATCTCCTGCTATCTTCTCATGAGTCCTCCCGATGGGGTAACATGCTATCCTGTGAGCTGATCTGCTCGCCTTCGCGCTCATACCTCGCACACTATCGGGGCCGTCGGATCGTCGACACTTGAAAATCATACCTCAACTTCCTGTCTCTGAATTCAATTGGTTGCATATCACTTTAGGAGGCCAAGCTCCGTGCTCTGGAAGGTTGGAATTAAAGTCCATTCTGCGCTGCCTGTTCTCGTGATGGACATTGGCAGCACGTAAAGCGCCCTCGTCGACCCGTGCCGCCATGTGGTAAAGATGTCAAGGCAAAGAAGTGCTGTGGGCAGCCAATGGGACGTTCAACTTCTTACTATCACGTGTCGCACGGTGCACAACCGGCCCATGCGGGTGAAACCCCAAATTAGTTCATCAACACGTTGAGAGAATGCTGGCACTCGGGCTACAAGCTAACGCTGTCATCTTTCAGTTAGACGAAGGTTGCGGGCTGCAGACGCGGCTTTCAAAGTTTACCATATGAAATGTGGACTCAGAACGGATCTCGGGTGTCCGCGCGCGGGCTGTGCATCATGGTTGTAGAACTCCTCATGCAACTCTAGTATGCCCAACAACGGAGCCATTCAGCTTAATAAGCGAGGTGAAATTGGGAACTCCGCTTAAGGAAGCTCATGCATGTAAGCAAAATTCTCTTCTCATCACGGACATCTGTATTGTGTCATGTCGCATCACCCTATGATCGTTTACCCGCTATCATGACCTTCGAGTCTGCGGCTCTCCGTGGGGGACGCGACTGATGCTGCCAAAGCACTGCTCCCATCGGCAGATGGAGATGATGCGACCTGCATCGTGGCTCGTGCATACTCCTTGTTCATGCAATTGTGTTCGCGCTACATGCTCTTAAATGGCATTGCGTGTAAATTACGGTGCTACAACGGGACCACGTTCTCAGCACGGCTGCGCTGGGTGAAGTCTACGTCAGTGCTGTCACCTTCACCTGGCTGAATGGGAATTCGATAATTTGACTAGGATTTGAGACTGTCGATGCATGTTGTAACGTCTGCCCCATCTGGGCTCAGTGTGCAAAGTGCATGCAGTGCATACATGCAATACGCACACGTCGAGCTGCAAGCATGGCAGGCTATCGCAAGTCCTAGTCCGCGGTCATGCGAATGTAGCCGGGGTGTTTAGATGAGTTTGTCTGTCATCTTGTGTCATTCGGTGCAACCTCTGGACTCCGCTACACAACAAGTTTCTATGATGTAATCACCAGAACTAACTCCATACTCTTCTCATGAGCTTTACCTAAACGGAAGGTCCAACTAGGAGCTTTGGACGAGCACAGCGGTCCGCCTCGTCATGTCCCTGCGCAAAATTTGTACATCATGTTCGACTGCACCGATGTGGTGGCATGAATCTTGAAGGCTCTACACAGCCTCACGCCCCTTTACCCGCGTCCGTCCGCATCATCAGCATCACTTGCGCGCACTGCCGCCAATTCCGCATATCCCTGCTCGCGTCATCGGTGAAGTGATGTGTGACGCCGGTTCACAAACGGGTATGAATGGTTCTAGGGTGGAGTTCCATACCTCTCCTTCCCAGATTAACCCCCTTTTTCCTCAATTCCCCCGGGTACGCGGAAGAACGTTGAACGGCGGAAGATCACCGTTTGGTTCGTCGCACCAACTGCCCGGATCTAGGCAAACTTCGGCTAACCTGAAATTGCATAATGGAAGAGAGCCGTATCGACATTGCATTCCTTTATTTTTGGTGATGCAGACTTCGTTGGCACCTCTACTAGAATTCACAGACTCGTAGATCCTCGGCAGATCCTCACATATTACACCTTACACCTTAAGGCCTACCTCCACACCCTCCTTTTGTCAACCCTCAAGCTTGCAAGCATAGACCTTAGTGATGCATGGATCACTGCTAATCCGATCACCGTCCGACACCCTTCGTCCAACCCTGCAGCTCCCACAACGGAAATTTTCTCGCACCGCTATGTCAACACGTTTCCGACGTACCTTGCGATGCGCAAACCAGCGGGAATGGTTCTCTCATTCCACGTCCGCCCTGGTATAACAGGTTTGGCGACCATAATGCCCGCAATAGGATTATCACATTCTATACGGCTTCCTTCTCTGTAATCTTCAACGCCCGAGAGAAGTGTATATATAGGGGACTCACTCTTGCCTCTTTTCTCATTGGCCCCTTCTCCAGCAGCAAAAACCTTCGCAAGGCAGTGACAAATAGCTCTCCTCTCGACACCTTAATCTTCCTTGGCCTTAAGTGTCCACTTTTGTATTTATATAAACGAAGCAATTGTATTCGCTGTCGTTGCTGCTCCGTCTTTCTCGACTTTCGCCCCGCCGTCTGTCACCCCTCTCGTCTTCCCGGGCCAGGCTCCCGGCAGCCCAACATTTCACTTTGGCGCCCATTGGCGCTACTTATAACCTAGTCGGAAGTTTCACGTCCGCTCGGACGACCAGGTATGTGCTCTCACCGACTACTACGAAGGTAGCTACAAGAACCCGAACTACAAGTGCGTGATGGATGCAACCAAGCAGCCTGGCTTCAAGTGTGTGTAAGTGCTGCCTGTGATTCAGCTGAGGCCAGACGCGTGAGCCGATAACACGGAATGTGACCAACCAACAGGTGACAGTACACGGCAACGAGTGCTGCGCTGGGAAGGTTTTCGCTTCCTTTGACGAAAAGCAAGGAGGGGGTAGCTTTTACCCTGGTGCTTCTGTCATGCCCTTCCCTATCATCTATCTGGCTCACTTGCTCTTGCTTCTCCCACAGAGCTGCAGCATGGCCTGCTCTTGCAATGGGAACCATAATTGCGCGGCTCTTACAACGCCATGACACTTTACAAACGCGGCGCTAATGCCCCGCCGCTCCAGCTGCGCGCCTGCGGAGATCACTACCGGTGACGGTAATGAGTACAAACTTTTCGGCTGCTACACCGACCGGCCTGACGACCATGATCGCGCTCTGCCCGACTTTTACAACGCCGATAATCATGACAATGACAATAATAATTGCGTGAATCAGGCTTCTGCCTAGGGTTCGAGTCCGTCGCCACTGAGTGGGGAAAACTCGAGCGACAAAAGAATAGTACCATAAGGCAACGATCGACCGTATATCCTATTCTTCTCGTATTGCAGGCAAGGAAGGCCACGCAGCCCACCAGCTCGTATCCTCGCAACCCACGGGTAATTGCGAATTGACGTGCACGAGCCTTGAAGGTTTGTGGAGACTCGCTGTGCGAGGCGACTCTGTACCAGCTCCAGACCGAGCCTTAGGCGCACATTGCTGGAGTTCACAATGCCTGGGCCCTGTGTTCATATCGAATGTGCTCCAGCCCACTGCGACAGCCTTGAAAATTGTATCGTGTACCATTTTGGCTTATTATCCAAAACGCTTGGACCCTTTTTATGCTCATTTTTCACTTGCTTCGATACTTATCTTGAGGGAACTTTTAGATTCCCTGGTTTGCTCGATGCGAACTCGACATTCGACGTCACATAGAGACTGCGATTTCTGTTGCAAACAGATTGGAACGTGAAGTATGATACAGAGAGGTGCTCAAAGCAGGTAGCGGAACTTCCTCTTGGTCAAATGAGCGGTCGATTTCCCGCCTTCGCTTGCCTGGGTCTCCTCGACCGTGCCATACTTGCGATCAAGCGCTCTGTTGTCGCGCGCGAGGCGCACGCGCATGGCGAGCGCGAGCGCGATGCCGACGAGGAACATGCACGTGCAGATGAGGTTGCTCTGCCAGTAGCGAGGGCCAAACTTCTTCTTCTGCCAGATGTAGCTGCCAGCGATGTTGCCGAGCTGCGAAAATGCGTTGATGCCAGCCAGCGCGACGGCTCGCTTCGTCGTGGGGCGATGGATCGTGTTGCTGATCCATGTGAGGATGACGACATAGCCGGCATAGGACGGCGCCATCAGGAAAAGGCCTACGAAGCGCGCGGCGGTGTTCATGGTCGATGCGCTGATGATGAAGCCAGCGATGCCGACAACCAGGGGAAGCGAGATGTGCAGAAAGCGCTCTTGGGTGGCATCGGCGTGACGTCCGTTGAAGTATACGCAGACAAAGGCAAAGAACCAGGGTGGGACCGTCAGGAGGAGCGTCTGCGTCTGTCCGTAGCCGAGAGTTCCCGTGAGCGTAGGGAAGAATGCGTCTGTCAAAGGAACGTAATGCAAAGGTCAGATCGGCAGAGGCCATATGAATCTTGCAAGATTGCTGCACAAATCCACTCACTGAATGAGAGCCCAGCAGTGACAGCAGTAAGCAAGACAGCAAGCAGATACACTTTCAGATCCTTGACCGCAAGCAGCAGGCCATGCGACGTGTTTCCGTGCCCATTCGCGTCGCCCCCACCCACATCTGCCTCGCCAGCATCTTCCGTCAAGCGCGCAACTGCCAGGCTCCGCTCTTCCTCGCTAAGGAAGGAAGAGTTCTCTGGAAAGTCGGGAAGAACGAAGAAGGCGATCACAGAGATGCAGACGGTGAGAGTTGCTCTTCCAACGAGGGAGAATATAGCTTTAGTCTCAGAAGGGTCCAGCAGACAAGCTAAGGACTTACTCGACAATGAACATCCATTTCCATCCTGCAATGCCCCTGAGGCCGTCCAACTTGAGCAGACCAGCCGCGATCAAGCCGCTGAACGCGTTGCTCAAAATACTGCCGCTGAACAACAAAGCCGTACGTGTGGCTAGTTCTTTCTTGGTCATCCATTTTGAGAGCAGGAATAACGCTCCAGGGAAGAATGGGGCTATTGCAAGTGAACGGCAAATAAAGATCATCAGAATGAGGATTCGAGCAGAGGAACGCACGACCGCTGGTCCTAAGTATCAGGAAAGCATACGGAACGCACCTTCTGCCATGCCAAGAACGATGCGTACGGCAAGGAGGCCTGAGTAGTTGTGCGTCAACGCTGTCATACCGGACACGATGCCCCATAGCGCTACGATGCTCGGGATGTAGAGGCGCGGTCGCCCCAGGCGCACGAGAAGGAGGTTGCTGGGGATTTGCAGCCTGTAATTCGTCGTACCAAGCTCTCAGGGACACGTTCCAAGAATCTGTATTTTACCTGATGCGATTGTACTCACGAAATATAGCCTACGAAGAGGATCGAGAGAGCGACGGAATCTGTTCACGTGAGCGAAGAGGGGATGGGCGTGGGTCCATGGGCAAATCTCAATCAAAAAGTCCCAGTGGCGGATCGAAAGGGAGACTAACACTGTGTGTCGGTAAGCTTGAGGTCCTTTTGCAAGCCATAGTCACGAGCTGCACTGATGTTGTTGCGGTCCTGAAGAAAATAAATCAATACGGATGTGAGCCACATTGTGCAGAAAGGTTCTCGATCGAACAGGGATGGTGGCTCACGAGGTAGTTCATGATATATAGCAAGATGAGTATCGGCATCATCCTGAGGTCGATCTTTCGAACGAGCTTCCGTTCGAACTCACGCCGCTTCTCGTCATTCGGTCTGCAATGCTCAAGCATGACCGCTTCCCGTCCCTCCTCGGCGACATCGAGAGTGGTGCTGCCCTGCTGAGGGTCATCGTAGCGATCGTCCACTTTCACCGTGCTGCTGCATGACTTGGCTGCCTGCTTGGCATTGGCGACGCGCAACTCGTTGGCGGGGGCCATCATCGCTCACCACACCAAAGTTGGGTTGCAGGCGGAGGATTTGCGCAAGGGGGGGTGGAGGGTGAAGATGGCAAGACTGTGGGGTCGTGGGGGTTTGGAAGAGTATCGAGAGTAAGTGTAACCGGAGTCGATGAAAGCGTTGGTTTTCGTATGTGCAAGGCAAGATGCGTGCGGTTGGAGACGAAGAAAGAGGCGGTCTTCGTGTGATGAGCTCTGGGGCCGGTGAGAACGTGAGAACGTGGGGAGGCGAACAGGTACACGGTGATCTTCTGGGAACAAGCCAGCATCGCAATGGAGATTGTGACCTTCGGTCCGACGCCATCCGCCGCCATCGTTCCTGGCGATTGGCGCTAACACGCCGGCAAGCAGGGCAGTAAAGCAAAGTGACAACTATGCAGACTGCTTAGCTCCAAGAGGACAGCAGCCAGAGCCCCAACCCCTCTTCTTTCGGCCGATATAATGTCATCCGTCAGCCAGGTTCTGACGAGAAGAACGGTATATTGTTTGTGTGGCTCGCCGTTTGCACGTCTACCTCGCGCTGACCACATAGCCTTTACCAGTTGTTACCCGTTGGTCGAGCCCATCGCCTCCTCGCTCGCAGCGATCCTGCGCATCGATTGGAGATCACAATCGCGGTCTCACCATCGAGCGCCTACCCCCCTTAAACACGAGCATGGCCCCGCCGTTGCACCCAGTCGTCGTCTCAGCGCCCGGCAAAGTCCTCCTTGCCGGCGGCTACCTCGTGCTCGATCCAGCCTACCCTGGCGTCGTCGTCTCCACATCCTCGCGCTTCTACTCGGTCGTCGAGGTGCGAGATGCCAAGGGCAAATGCAAATCTTCGGTGGCTGCCGGCGCTGAGGAAGACGCAGCAGCAGACATCCTCGTGCGATCACCTCAGTTCGTTCGCGCTGAATGGGGGTACAAGCTTCGCATCCGTGGTGGCACTGTCGCTGAAGGGAGTAGTGTAGATGTGATCCAGACCGCGTGAGTATCTGCGTGCTAGATGTCACGACGATGGGAAGCTGGTTTTGAGAACAATCATGGCTGGGCCTTGCTGTTTCAGATCAAGCTACAACTCCCCAGATGCTGGCAAGAATCCGTTCGTCGGCCTGGCGCTACTGTACTGCCACCGTCTGGCTCTCGAGCTGCTCGGTCTCGAAACCTACAAAGAGCGTATTGCGCAGCCTATCACCATCACCGTCGTCGGCGACAATGACTTTTACTCTCAGCGCTCGCAGGCGAACCTTCCCGTCGGAAGCGAACCATCAGAAAGGCCGAACTTTCCCAAAGCACCAACAAGCGCGTACCTTCGCTCGCTGCGGCCGTTTACACCCCTTGGCGTGCCAATACGAGAAGTACACAAGACAGGGCTCGGGTCGTCAGCGGCGATGACCACCTCCCTCGTCGGCGCGTTGCTTGCCCACCTCGGGATCGTCTCCGCATTGCACGCTGCCTCCTCTGCCACCTCCAATTGCTCTGCTTCCGCCGCAGGTGCGAGTCTCTCGACGCGCGACCTGGCGCTTGTTCACAACACTGCACAGCTGGCACACTGCGCCGCGCAGGGTAAAGTGGGCAGCGGCTTTGACGTCAGCGCGGCGGTGTGGGGCAGCCAGCTATATAGACGCTTCAAGCCGGAAGTCCTGCAGGCCGTGCTGGACGAAGGCGCTGCTGTGCTCATTGAGGGTCAACAGCAAGTGGAAGACAGCGTGGAACCCTACGGCAGCTCTTCGACAACAAGTAAGCGCAGGCTGTATGACGCGTTGAAGCCTGATAACCGCGATTGGGTGCCACTCTGTGCCGCCTCTGGCTCTTCGAAACATGCTCAAGGGGGCGATCTCATGAAGACGGGTGGACCAACAGCAACAGAGGGACTCGCAGCGCTGGGCCTCACTGTGACTGCGCCTTTTTCATCATCATCATCAACGGCGCCAAGCTCGTCGGAAGAGCACATCCCGCAGCCAGCGCCTTTGCACCTTCCCCCTCGTCTCGCGATGGTCCTAGCGGACGTTGACACGGGTAGCAACACGCCCTCACTCGTGTCAAAAGTGCTCGCGTGGAAGAAGGCGAAGCCGGAGTGGGCCAAGCAGCTGTACAGCGTTCTGGACAATAGCAACCAGTCTCTTGCGGATGGCCTGCTCGCGCTGACGCTTGGGTGCCTGAAAAACCGAGAGGAGTATGAGAAAAGCTTAGACATTGCTGCTGGCGTCAAGAGCGCCAAGGTGCGTACTTATAGCAACTTGCGCGATACATTCTTACGCTGACTCCCCCCCCTCGACTTCCGTCACCTCCGACCGACGGTGACGGCGGTCCTTGCATGCAGTGGGACGAGCTAGCACGAACGCATCCCTCACCGAGCCTGACGCTCCTCGTGGGCTTGCGCAACACGCTGCGCTCCATCCGTGCCGGAATGCGCGAGCTCGGCCAGCGCGCCATCGCACCCGTCGAGCCGGACGAGATGGGCGAGCTGATCCGCGCGAGTTGCGAGAGCGCACCCGGCGTGCTCGGCGGCGGCGTTCCGGGAGGTGAGCGTGAACTGAAGTAACCCGGCGTTGACCAGCGAGGAAAGTATCGCTGACAATGAGATGAACGTTATGCAGCGGGCGGCTACGATGCACTGTACCTGCTCTACATCACTCCTCGCGCCGATGCATCGCCGAGCGCCGATCCGCGCGCAACAGTCGAAAAGTTCTGGGCGAGCTGGCAAGGCCTCAGCGTCGGTCCGCTACTCAGTACGGCCGGCTCTTCCCTGTCCGATGCCATCTCCAGCGCATCAGCAGCCGCAGAAAACGAGGGCCGCGACGTAAAGACCACGCTGCATCCGGACTTGCCCGACTTGGCTCTGCAGTTCGGAGCGCCTTCCTTGGGCTGTAGTGGCCTGCAGCTCGTCAGTGTGGATCATGTTTGGGGCCTACGAGAGGTGCTTTGAGAAACTACTCCGCATTCTTCAGTGCTAGCAATACATTTAGTTGCAATTGCATTTCATTGTTTAAAGACATGGCTTTCGCCTTCATACTGCCCATGCGCTCACTTTCCGCCCTTCTTTTTACCGCCTTTGCCCTGGACAACCTGGAAGCCGGCGAAGGTGTCCCGCCTCGAAGGCTGAGACTTGAGCACGTCGCTGGCGCTTCGCTCCGCCGGGCGACCAAGACCAGACGCGCCAGAAGATGCAGCTGAGCTTCCTGTTGCGCCCAAGCCGCATCCTTGCGCGTCCATCTTGCGCTTAGCAACGAATTCAGCCGCGAAGCGACGCCCGTCGAGCGTGCTGCTGTTGGCATAAATGCTCTCGGCAATGATCTCGACGACATCCGGTGAAGGGTCGAGCGGGAAGGAGAGCAGCATGTCGACAAAGTCGTCCACATTGACGCTCAAGCCCTTGAGCTGCTCCTTGGTGTAGCGGACAAATTCCGGACTAGGGCCCGAAGAAGACAACGATCCTGATGATGAGGACAAAGGTGCGGCGGAGGATCGCACGGCAGTACCATTCGTAGGTGGCGCAGCGGCGACGGCAGGTGCAGGCTTGACGGAAGCCGTACCCGCGCTGGCCGATCGCTGCGGGCTAGCCATGGCATCAGACGACCGGTTGGATGGCACTGTACCGCTACTGGCGCCACCAACAGGCTTTCCCGAAGCGCCAACGACGCTCCACCCTGGAGCAGGTGCGAGGTTTGGCTGGCTGACGGCCCGGCTTGCAGCGCTGGCAGCCAAGTCGGCGTACGCCTTACCACCGGCCGCTGCAGCCTGTTGAGCGCGCGCCGCAGCTGCGATCTCCTTGGCGCGCTGTGCTCGCTTGCGTTCCTCCTCTTGGATCTCCGCGAGCGTCTTCTTGGTCGTCGACGATGTAGTTGTGCTCCACGCATGGCCGACGGACCCTGATGTCGGAGACGCGCTAGCTTCTTCTGTCTTACTTGCTGAGGAAGGTACGCTAGCGAGGCCCCAGGACATGGTGATCGGTTGGGCAGACGATGAAGCCGACGCAAAAGCAGCAGCAGCAGCTTTCGCACGGTTCGCTGCGGCCTGCCTTTCCAGGGCCTTCTTCGACTCCGCAGCCTTGAGTTCAGCCGCCTGTATTTCGCGCAGGCTAGGACTTGTCAGAGTAGCTGGCTTCTCCTCCGCTGCTTGAGCCCAAGGAGCCGGCTTAGCAGGCGTCGAAGGCATGCTGGGCTCGGACGTCGAAGATTGTGTCTGCTGAGAAGCGGCAGGAGTTGTGGCTTTCTTGAAATCATCAGCACTCATGATATTCAGATTACCGGCCATGGCGCTGGAAGTTCCGCGCGCCTTGGCTGCTGCGGCATTGCTGTCCGCCTCGGCGTTCTCTCGCGCCTTCCTGTTACGTTGCTTGCGCGTGGTGACGATTTGCATCTGCTGCTGTCCTTGATCGGCAACCCACTCTTCGCCAGGCTCGAGTGAGCCCTCAAGCTGATGCGCAGACTCGAGTTGCCCAGAAGCTTCCGGTTGCGGCTGCGGCTCCAGCTCCGGCTCTGCAGGTGCAGAGCCTTCAGCTATTGCGGCTGCTGGTGCAGTTTCCAGAACTGGCTCCGTCTGCGCAGGCTCGTCGGCTGCGGCGGAGGTAGCGGCTTCTGGAGCTGGACTTTGTGAGCGCCGCGGTGTACCGATGGCGTCGGGTACACTTTTGAGCTCTGCTTGTTGCGTAGTCTTTGGCGTACCCGGCGCCGCACCCCAGGCGTTCCACACGCCACCGGCATTGTGCTGCTGCGCCTGTCGCTGCTGCTGGGAGCGCGACTGTTCACTATGTTGTTGAAGTTGTTGAAGCTGGTCTTGAAGATGTAAATGATGCTGTTGTTGCTCAAGGAAAGGATGCTGCTGTTGCTGTTGAAGTCGATGCTGATAAAGCTGCTGTTGCAAAAGTTGTGACGGCTGCACCCCACCAGGCGGTAGCCCGAAGGGCGCCTGCGGCAGCCCTAGACCTTGCGTGTGCGCATATCCCCACGCATCCATGCTGCTTCCCGTCCAAGGCTGCTGCTGCTGCTGTTGTTGCTGCTGCTGCGAAAGCGAGTGTGGCATCACCATGCCAAAAGCTGCAGCAGCGGCGACGCGCTGATCGAGCGGCATGCCAGCGCGCAGCTGCTGCTCCATGATATGCTGGCGGCGCATCATAAGGACGTACTGCTCCTGGTGGCGCAGCTTTTCCTCAAGACTCATTTCGCCAGGGATGCCGAACGGGTTGGCCGGCGCCAACGATGCCGGCGGGGGCGGCACCAGAGCACCAAATGGCGAAGGCTGGCCCGGGAACCCCGGAACGCCGTGCTGCCCAAGCATCGTGAGCGGGCTCTGGAATACGCCGACGGGAGGCGCAGCATGCGTGTCGTTCAAGGGCCACGGCGATAATGTGCTTTCTTCGGCCGACGGTGCGGGTACCTGCCCGTCGCGCTGTTGTTGATTCTCCTGCTCCTGCTGCATTTGCGGCTGCAGGTGATCACCCTCATGCTCTTGCAGCTGCTCCTGCTGTTGCCCATCTTGCTGCTTCCCCTCCCTCTTGGGCGGCGGCAGCAAGAACGGTTCGACGGAGTTATCAACCTCCTTGATGACCTCACCGAGTGGCCTGAACTTGTCCTCCTCGTCACGGCGCACGAGCAAGTCGGCTTTAAAGTAGCTCTGTGCATACCACTCCTGCATGTTGTTCGCATCGAATGGGCCTTGCACGCGGCCCTCGTAGTCCTTGTAGTACCAGAACGCCCGGTCGGGTGACCAGCCATCCACCTCACGCGCCGCCTGTCGCTCCTCCTCCTCCAAGCGCAACGCATCGAGGATCTTTGCTTCGTCCTCGAGGTCCTCCAGACGCTGGTGGTGGTGCTGCTGCTGATGCAGCGCATTCGCAGTCGCAGCGGCACTCGAGCCCAGTAACCTTTCGTGCTGATCAGTGACGGAGGATGGCTGCGCAGAACGCAAGGTTCCGGAGACGGGACGCTGGGGGGAATGCAGAGCGATGGGAGGATGCACACAAACGTCAGTTGCATGCCCGGAGCACGGTGCCAGCATGCTCAGGTCATGAGGCGCGTCTCACCTTTCGCTCAAACACGGGACGTCCCTTGCCAAAGCCACCGCTGTGATCCGCAGGCGGGCCCATCGGCCCCTCGCCTGGCGCTCGTTCACGCTTGTATCTTGCCGCCCACGAGGAGCCGGAGATGCCTTCTGACTCTTGGCTGCGCGAGTTTGGAATAGAAGTGGCAATGGCATTATTTGCGCCGGCTACGGCGGTAGAGTTGGACTGCGAAGACGCGCGCTGCGTCGAGGGACGAGTCCAGTGGCCGAAGCCTCCGCTGCCGAAAGTAGCCGCTTCGGAGTCATCCCCGCCTCCGCCGCTTATCGTGGGATTGGGAGAGCGCGGAGCTGACGGAGCAAAAACATGGAAGGAAAGGGAATCAGTGAAAGTCATTTCGCATGGACATTCTCCCGTTGGGTGGGGTGGGAATGAGCTCCCCGCTCACCTCCACTAGCATTACCACCCTCGCTGTCCTTCCGGGTCCTGCCTATTGGTCCACCCAGCACGCCACCCTGGAAGCCCCTTGGCTTATCCCCAGCACCAGCAAGGCAAGGCGGCGGTGGACCATTGCCGCTGCCAGCGCCGCTTCCGGCAAAGGTGCGTTGGAGGAGGCCGCTGCCTGCTGCCCTGCCGTCGCCAGATGCATTCGCAGAGCCTCTTGCATTCAGACCACGAGCGGGCTCGTTAGAAGCATTGCGGAAGGGCCCAGTATCGCCGACGTCGAGGGCGGGAGACTTCAGTGGCCCATGAATCTGACATGCCGTGAAGGAGGGGAGCAATGGAGCCGAACATCTCGTCAGTCTGCTGCATGGCAAGCGAGAAAGAATGAAGCTTGCGCGAAGGAAAGCGTACCTTCCGCTTGGAACTCGCAGCACCATCGGTATTTTGTCCTGCAGCACTACCCGTGGAGTGTGTAGTAGCAACGTTCGGCTCCGCGAAAGTGGCAGACTTGCCAGATCTTCCGAGACCGTACAGACTCAAGCCAGACCATGCTCTTGCGCCGCCCCCTCCTGCTACTGTCCCTACCTCTTCGGAAGCCGAAGGGCCATTGGCAACAGAGGTGCCACCCGAAGCAGCAGCAGCAGCACCAGCACCGATGCCGATGGCGCCGTTCGGAGCGGCCGAAGCAAGAACATTGCCAAGTGCTGCACTGCCACTTGCGCTGTGATGGCTCCCTGCGCCGCTCGCTGCTGCAGCAAAGGAGAAAGCGCCGGGAGAGGCAAAGCTCGGGCTGAGAATGCCACTGCCTGTTGAGGATAGCCCTGCTTTCGGCTCCAAGCCCGAGGCGCCCGTGCCAGCGCCGGCGCTGGCAGAGGAGCTTGTGCGACTGGATCCGTTCGGTACTGTTCCTCCTTGAGTCTGAGCACCTGTGGCGACCCCTCCGGTTGTTGCTGCGGTGGGTGCGCCTGGCTTGGTAGAGCCTGAAGATGCCTTGCGCATCCACTCGGGACCAAACTGCATTGGTCTTGAAGTCATCGTGCCGGTCAGTCGACCTTTTTCCCTTTGCTTCTACTTTTTCCTGCTGAGTCCCGGTGAGTGTTCCGCCCCGATTGGCTGGAGTGGTGATGATTCGCGAGAGAGCACGAGCGAGCGAAAGTGGGTGGCAAGTGAGGCGGTAAGCGTCTAGCAGCGAGCTTTGTTGTGGGTGCGACGACGCATGAGAGACGACGAAGAAAAGGCCAGGGATGATGCGACGATGTGAGAGAACGACGACGACGTTGTCGAGGACGGAGGGTCAGCCTGGCGATCCTTCCGAGACTTCGACTGACGTGGTGCCACGCAAGATTTCCTTATGGACTACTTGGTGGCCGACTTTTGATGCTCGTGTTCCGCCCGCCCGCTCGCGGGCGGGCTCTGTCTGTCTGCCGCAGTTGGGGGCATGCTGTTGGTAAAGTAGGGTTGCCGTTACCCACACTACCGCTCGAGCCACGTGACGCGACGCGAACGCGAAATCGCTCCATCGCAAGCTCGTCTCTCGTTAAGAACACGCATAGGCACCCAGCGCCTGGGCCAGGCTCGTCGGTACCTCCTTACCAGTACCACCAGCGAACGCTCCCCCAGCCAGGCGAGACAGCAAGCAGGGCAGGAGGCCCCGCTGCCGAGCTGTGCCAGCAGTGGGCTGCCGCCGCCAAGGCACGAGCTCGCAACATGTCGCAGCAGCTCCTGCGAAGCCCACGATGTCGACCCAACGCAGTAATTGGCAAGGTCGTCCCGTTGCTCCTACTCGCCTATGTATGGTGAGAGGAGGGAAATCCGAGTTCCTCTGCGTTGAGGGTGTCCCGTGTCTGGCCCAGAACAATGCACCACTAACTTTAACCCCCCTCTCCCCCTTCTCCACCCGCCCGACCACCCGACGTACCACGTAGCTCGACGTATTCGCTCGTCGTCAAGGTCCATATCTGTGAACATGTACATGGAGGAGGGCAGGCGGCGATTTAAAGTCCTGACTTTTTGCACTGCTAATACTCGCCTCCAGATGAGCATGTCTTCCTTCGGCAGAAACGACCCCTATTCGCCGTCAGCTACGGTGCCATCCTCCATCTCCTCTTCGCCCTCACCGTCGTGGCCTACCTGCGCGTCTTTCGTGCTCACACCCTTTGGCTCCCAGTCCCACCCTTCTGCTCCTCATTCAACACTGCTAGGCCCGGAACCAACGCCATCAGCTGCAGGAGGAGTACCTTGAGGACCGCAACTGTCAGTGCGCTGCAATCAGCCGTGGCTCTCCTCCACCGCTTCTCGACCGTCTTTACGCCATTGCGAGTAACCGCGACGCTTCCCGGCCTCCCTGACGAAGCGGACTTCGAAAAGATCAGACGCGACATGCTGCACCAGTGTGCACTGGACGGTTCTCTGATGCGCTGCTGGCGCGACGGTTGCAAAGGCCGCTGGAAACCTGCCAGGTAGGTGCATGCAAGCGAGCGGATCTTGGAGCTCATGCTGACGCTAGGCACCGTGTACATTTAAGGACACGGCATTGCGGTGACTGTCGGACATGCAGGATTGGGTTCGATCACCACTGTCCATGGGTGAGTTCACGCCTGACCACTCACATCTTTCCTCCCCACCATCCTCAGTTCGCTGACACGCACAATGCCTCCCAGTTCGATGCCGACGTAATAGCGCAGCACACCATGCCCTCCTTCCTCCTCTTCCTCCTCCTCGCGGCCCTGCTGCTCATTCTAGCACTCGCGCCCCTCGTGCACGGGGCCTACGCCGATTTCAACGTACTGCTCCACGTCGCGTGGGCGCACCCGCACATGCACACCCGCTGGTGGCAGCGTCGCTGGACGTGGTACGGGGGCCCGACGCTGCGCTACGGTGGCGCGCTTGTCGTCGCGGCGCGGCTGCTGCGTGAGGAGGCGTACCCGAGCAGAGGAAGAGGAGAGAGAGCAGCATCATTACACGCCCCCGTCACGTTGTCCATCGCCGCGCTGCTGACCGCAGTGGCGCTCGGCCTGCTCACAACGACGCTCCACATGACGACGCGCGGCGACCTCAGTGTGGACGTCATGCGCCAGAGGGCGCACAGCGCAGTGGTTTCGCAACAAAGAAGAAAGGGGGAGAAGGCACGCGCACTAGCAGCAGCAGCAGTGCCACAAACATCGTCGTCCACCGCTTCCAATCTCAGCCCCACCATGTACTTCTGGGTCCCTCTACATCTTTTGTCCGATGGCGCTGCGGGCGCGGGCACGAGGCAGCAGCCGCATTTGGACGTACCGCGGACCATACGCGAAGCAGGTGGCATCGTCGTGTCCACCACGGCCGATGGAGGAGATGAGGAAGCCGTGAGGCCGTACGACTGGGGCTTTTGGCGGAATCTACAGCTGATTCTCGAGTGAGTGGACGCCAGAAGGCGCTTAGGATCAAGTCCGCTGCTCTTGCCACGCGTCTTGACTTGTTTGACTCTCGTGCCGCCCCCACGCGCGCTGCAGGAAACCAGCGAGGCAGAAGGACGCGATGCAATGGCCCATTTCCCCGGCTGCGCGCCAGGCGCTCGTCGCTCGCGCCGTTGCAGCCGTCAGGGAGATGGACAAGGAAAAGGGGTCCTGATTCGCTCGTGGAATCCACACAAACTGCTCGCTCTCCTTCGCATGTGGCAAAGCGACGGTATACCGCCTGTAATGTAGCTCTGCACTCTATTTCGATGAATTAATATTAATGGGTCGCGCTATAGTGTGCATGGTAGTCTATACCACGACAAGCGGCAGTCGCCGCCTCAGAATAAACCCGGACTGAAGCGAGATGACGAACAAAGAAGAGGAGAGCGGGGCAAAGTGGTGGAGCGTCTATCGCCGCTGAGGATCAGGCGCCAAGATCCTCAGCGGCTCCAGCACCAAAGCAGAGGCGGGCTGACGCGCTGCAGCGCGGCGATTTGGTGCGCGCGCAGCTCGTCAAGCGGCAGCTGCAGCGCGTGCTCTCCGTCTGCCTCGCTCTCGCCCTCTCCCCCCTGCTCCTGCTCCTGCTCATCCTCGTCGTCGTCGTCGTCGTCCGCGTACCGCGCATGCAGCGCCGCGAGGCGCTTCGCGAGCGCTGGCTCGCACGTCCTGTATACGCGCTGCCCGCAGCCGTGCACATTGTCTCCGCCAAGCCAGGGCTTGTTGCCACTGCCGCCGACGTCGACACCAAATGCGCGCGCGACGGGTGCAGACATGCGCTCAGCCCTGCAGAGGCGCGCGGAGAACTTGGCGCGTGGCGTCGCTTTGCGCGCGGGCGGCGCCTGCGCCGTGGTAGCTCGTTGCCGTTGCGGCGCTGCGGCGGTCGACGACGGCGACGGCGAGAAGAAGGAGAAGAGCGGGTTGGTGACTGATGCAGCAGCAGCAGCGGATGTAGCTGTGCCTTTGGCAGCACCGCCGCTACTGCTGGTGCTGTTCTCGTCGGCGAACAAGCTAGGCGACACAGCAGACGCGTCGACTGTGCGCTTCTCGCTGAGCGGCGCGCGCTCGGCAAGAGGCAGCGGCGTCACAGGCCTCGTGACGACGGTGCTTCCCGCGAAGCTGCGCTCGGCACCAACCGCCACCTTGCCAACAGCAGCAGCGGCGGCGTTGGTGGTTGCAGCAGCAGCAGCATACGATACAACAGACGAAGGGGAAGAACCTGGAGACGCTGAAGAAGGCGCCCAGCGCTGCTGACCCGTCACGCGCGACGACGGCGGGGGCGGAAGCGGTGACGGCGACGGCGGCGACGCGAGTCCGCTGCGGCTGCCGCTCGCAAAGGAGGAGGACTGCTGCTGCTGCTGCTGGGGGTAGTGTTGGTGGGGCGTGTACATGCCGCCGCCGTGCGAGCTCGCGCCGGATCCCCCCCATACGGACGGCGAGGCAAAGGCGGATGCGGACGGGATCACAGACGCGACTGAGAAGGGTAGCAGCTCGTCGACGCTCGCTGGAACGGCTGTGCCCGCGGGCGAGCGCCCGTTCTCGTTCCGAGGCGATTGTGCCAGCGCGGGTGTGTTGCAACCCGTCACGGCGGCGGACGAGGGCTGGCTGCTGGCTGTAGATGATGCGCGCTCGGCGTGCGTGCGGAGGAAACTCTCGAGGCGCCTGCTAAGCAGGTTAGTGCGCGCCGAGCGGCGCGTGAAGAACTCGATGCCGAGCTCGACGCGTAGCTGGGCGTACTCATGCGCCTCGTCGGACCACGTGAGCCTGCTGGCATCACCATTCGCACCCGCATCCGCACTCTCATCATCGCCGTCGCCGTTGATACCCGGGATTGACGGGTGGAGCGCGACCCTGCGGACACGCCTGGCAAGCGGAGTGGTGCGCAGGATGCGCGGCCGGCCTTGCTCTTCTGCATCCCCCTCCTCCTCTTCGGGGGCGGAGCAGGGGCGCTTGAGGTCGTAGCTCGACTGCAAAAAGGGACACAAGGGGAGAAACAGTGTCAGTGCAAAGAAATTTCGAGCGCGGGCGGGAGGGCCCGAGCCAAGACCTGTGGGGATGGTGTGATCGGACAACGCACGCAGTAGAAGCGACTCAGCCAGCCATTTTCGACGTCCGGCGTGCCCCAATATTTTTCCAGTAGCTCCTGCTCGTCGTCCCCCTCCTCCTCATCGATGAGCACGCTGCCGCCCGCCATGTGGCAATCGCGCTTGCGCTCGCAATCCGGATCCTGGCCGTCGCCGGGAAAGCGCCAGCAGAGGCCAAAGTCGAGCTCGAGGCGGCTGCCGTGCTCGATGTCCAAGCCATCAAAGAGCGCGTGCCATTCGTCACCGGTGCTGAAGGCGAGCGACGTGCTGCCGGGTCGGTATGCGTCAAAGACGAGCGGGACGACGTGCACGATGGGCCGGTTAGGTTTCCGCATGCGCATGCGAGATGCAGAGAAGGCATCGGCGCGCGAGCGGCGAGAACTCGCGGCGGCCATGCGCCTATTGAGTGCGGCATGCGTGTTGGCAAGCGAGAGCACGTCATCCTCTGTAATGTGGGGTGTTCCAAGCACTTCGCGCATCTCTGCCTCCTGGCGCGCCATTCGGCACTTGAGCTGCTCGGCTGACTCTGCCGCTTCTTCCTCTCCGATCTCTATGCTTGCGGATGCTGGTGGGTCGTGCTGCTGCTGCTGATGAGGAGGAGAGAGAGAGCCCTCGTGCGCCTCGGACGGCAGCCTAGGCTTGCGGCTGACGCGGAGTCCGACGCGCCAGGTGCGGGTGCGGAAGAGGTCATGGAGGAGATCGTGCTCGACGGCGCGCTGCCAGTGTGCGTTGAGCCCCCGCACGGACGTGTAGAGGGTGTGAGGGTCGAGGTAGAGGAAGATGTGCCGGAGGAGCTCGTTGGGCAGCGTCTGTTCTTGCTCCTGCTGCTCTGGCGAAGAGGAGGAGAGTGTCGCATCCATGTCAAATGGCAAGGCCAAGGGTGAGAGCAAGTTGGGAGGCGAGGAGGTCATGGTCAAGAGGGGTGCCTTGTGCGGTCAGGGTGTTTCAGCAGGAGAGCGCTGAGTGGCCGAGCGATCGAATGTATTCGTACCGCTTCTCTATCGCGTTCCAGCGCTGCTTGGATGCATAGGGTGATATGGGTAGAGGAAGCGGGCGACGAGGACGGCTGGTGGGCGAGGGGGGGATGGTTTCGTATATATAGGGAGCGGTGCGCTGGGGTATGTGGTCAGTTTACTCGCTCCGGAGCCATTCCAGTTCCAAATTTTTCACTTCATTCTTTGTGTGGATTATTATTTTCTTTTTTGTCTCTGCGGACCGAGACTGCCAGAGAGAGACACATGGCACAGGCACAGCACCAGTCGAGTCGCCGGAGTGGGGCCCAGAAACACGAGACGGCCCCCCAGACAGGAGAGAGCAACGTACAGAAATTTGCGGGGGCGGGGGTCGGGGGCGGAGGGAGGAACCGGAGCCCCCGAAGGATAAACAGCAGACAGAATCTGGGGAAAATAAAGAAATTCGAAACACAGCATCAGTCCATCTTTTCCGTGTCACGTGCCATCCTTTTTGATTGGGGTGATGGTGCATTACCTATGCCCACGTACAACCAAACTCAACTACCCAGGGTCGTACCAGCTACGTGTAGGCACTGGACAGATACATACTTGCATACTTGGCCGCCCTATCCGAGCGCGTGCCACAGCCCGCAGGTAGGTGGTTCGCTCTTTTCGCATGTTTGCTTGCTTCGTTGCTCCATGGCGTTCAAGGCTTCGTCTCATCCACCCTGCACTTCACTTCTCCCTTGTACATAAATACCAGGCCCAACTCGCCCGCACCCTGGCCACGTCCCCGATGAGTGGGTGAGCATGCATGTACCGCCGCTGGTACATTTGAACGAGCCAGCGATTGCTTTTGCGCAAGCACAGATCCAACGGGACGCGCGCGCTTGGGGGTTGCTTCCATGCGTTGGCTCGCTGGCACCTCGTGCAACCGATGCTCACAAACATGGGTTTGTACAGCCAGGAGCAAGTAGAGTGAGCAAGCAAGCACATGGATCCAGCAGCAGATCGTCCGTCTGTGGGAAAGCCCGTCGATCTGATAGATAGCCGCCGTCACCCCTGCTTCTACTTCTCTCGCTCTCTCCCTTCGCACCCTGCGCCTGCGATGCGAACGTGTGGATGTCGTCCACCTGTTTCTGCGCAAAATCGTCGTCCCACATCGAGCTGGCAAGTGCCGTCAGCTTGGCGCTCGGCTGCTGCATACCCGCCTGCGTGCTGCTGCGCGCAAAGTTGCGCTCAATGCACGCCCGCACAAATGGCGGCACATCGGCTTTGCATATGCCTGTCCACGGAGCACAGCATAGTAAAGTCATGGGAACGCTGCGAGCGAGCGAGTGAGAGCAGGCGATGAGCAGTGCGACTCGTCGGCGCTTCGGTAGAGGACTGCGAAGGCTAGCTACTCACCCTTCGCATCGACGATACTGTATTTTCCAAGCCTCGCCGGCGAGCCAGTCACGGCCCAGGAGGTGTGGATCCAGCACGCTGTACATGCGCTTCGTCTCTGTCCAGTACCGGCCGATCCTGTATTGGATTCTTTCTGTAGCGTAGCGGTAGAGGCGGTTCTTCCAGATCAGCCCAAACGGTAGGATTCCCACGCTGGTTGACCCCGACCATAATTACTTGGCTGTCTTTGAGACGGTAGTCATTCTGCTGTGGTGCATGTATGGGCACGGGCTGAAATCACGCCTAGCTCACCGCTGACTCTTCTGAGACATCCACAGCCTAGAGAGGAAATACGACCCGAACCACGTCTCCTCCTGGCCGTCGAGCGATGCGAAGGCGGACGACAACCGAAGCGAGGTTCTTCAGTATGTGCTCGTCATTCACAAGGGTGTGGGGCCCATACAGGGCCAAAATGTGTGTCTCCACGCGCCGTTCGTCAGGCATCATCGCTTTGCGTTGCATTGACTTGAACACATGCACCACGCTTCTGTAGCGAACCACAGCTCCTTCTTCTTATTTTGTCCGCATTTCAATGCTCGGGCGTTCAGCCGCCGCGAGGGAGGGACCGTGCAGAGCCGGCCGCACAGGCTTATATTGAATAACGAGATCGGCTTGTACTTGATTTGAATATCCTTGTACGTGGGCTCGAGCACTTCGCAGAAACAAGGCACTTTGTACCCGGTGTGTCCGCCGTGTAGACCCTGAGATGCATCATCGTGGACAAAGACGTCCGAGACGTCAAGGATGAAACCTGTGAACCCAATGCTTTGAGTTGTAATATCATCAGAGGGCTAGTGTGACCTGGTGCAACTGGTTGCAAAGGTATGCCGGGTCATCGGACGAATGGATAGCTTGGATGCAGCATTGCTCATGTTAAAAACATGTTCGAATTTCGACTCCTTCATGAGTTGGTCTCATTTAACCGCTGCCGCTCCTCCTGGAACCTTGCACAGGTGCCAGGAGGCACACCAAGGGTCGCGCCCGCTCGTACGAGCTGACCGGCGTTATGACAGGCCCTGCTTGCCCTGCCTGCGATCCTACGTCATTCATTCAGCGACCACCACTCATCTGATCGCATCGGTCGGCCATTGGTTGTGCCAGAGAACTCGGAAGTCGGACGGTGAGTTCAAGTTGCACCGAATACGAGTACCACACCTGCATCCTTTTGCCTTCTCGCACTATGACTCTTTCCGCCAGCCCCCCTCACTCACCTCCAGCCTCTGGTCATCGCGCGAGTCGCGGAAGGTTACGCGCTACACATGTACAGCAACGAATACCAGGGCACTTGAGCACAGTGAGCTGTGCGCACAACAGTATTTCATAAACATGGACAAGCACAAACGAGCGCGCCCTATATGCCAGAAACGAAGCTGCGAAAAGATTATCCACAGGAAGCTGCGGAGCCGGTGTAGTATGATAAAATGAAGCTATAAACGGGCGGCCTGCGCTGGCCGACACTCGCGTTTATGAGCATGACAACCATGCATATATATAGTCTCGCATGCGATGCGCGAGGACATGTCCCGTTTTGTGGGATGCAGCAGTTATTGAAGCTCTCCCGGTGATCCACCATCCCTTGACGCTCTGTCAACGCATCACGTTTTTTTGAAAAGATGGTGTTGGAAGAGTTTTTTTTGCGGCGCTCTTGCGAAAATTTGGCGCGCTGTTCACTGCGGTCTTCATCCAAGGCCCCTGCTTGTGCATCGACGCAGCGCTGGTCGATGCGCTCTCAGCGCTGCGACTCGCCAGCTGGGCTCCCAGCGACAGGGCGCGCGTCCTGCCGAGGACGCAAGGTGAGAAACCTAGCGGGAACTGATGTTCGCAAGCACAAAGCCCCGATCACACACGTGCAAATGGTCTTGCGCATACCTCCCCCTGTTGCCACCCAGCAGGGGAAGTGTGTCCAAGACAGGCAATACGATGAGAGCAGATCGACTGGCTTGCGCTACTTTGAAGAGCTGCAACGTCGTGCGCAAGGAGGCGCAACAATCACACAAGAGCCCACCAGGTGGAGCCCGATGGCGGCGCTGCAGGCGATGGGCGCGTAAACAGCCACATCCGAACAAGACACGGATAGGGTACCATCCATGAGGGCACCAACGCCTCCCATGTTTCTCGCATCGATATTTCAACCGCGCTGAGGTTGCGCTGCCTGTAGGAAAGGATACACCTGAATCTGAGCTGGGTCCCACACATTTGCTTTCGAGTACGGGTCCCGAGCGATGCGCTCCCGCGCTTCGGTGATGTTCTGCGAAAATGTGGCACGTGAAAAGAAATATTGAAAAAGTGCAAGATGCTGGGGTCAGGTGCAGACCTTGGAGCAGAAGGAGATCGCTGGGCAGCTCACCTCGGCGAGAACGATCAGGCAGCTTCCACACAGCGCGCTGGGCGGGCCGGAGTCGTCGAGCTCGTCCCAGTCCTTGGACAAAAGTGCACCTCCTAACTCTGACATGACATTTAGTGTTAGTACGCTACATGTCACGCCTACGTTTGCCTCGAAAGCTCGACTCACCGATTCGACCGGCCTTCTTTCCTCGCGCGGCTTCGTCCAGATGCTGCTGCCTCACCTCTAGTCGTCGCTGAAGTGCCTCTGCAGCATTGTAGTCAGGCAAGATGCACAGGTAACGCCTCAGCTTTCCCTGCTGCTCTGCTTCCGCATTCAGCGGATCAGACCACGCTGGTGCACCACTGTCAGCGGCAGATGTGGCTGCAGAGGAGGACATGGTGCGGAATGCAAGCGGAGAGAAGGATGGCGAGGGGCGTGCTGCTGCAAAGCGCAAAAAGTGGGTTTTCGGTACAGCTGTGCGCGGAGAAGAACTGAAGGGACGAAGCGCCAGGTGGATCATCGGAGGACGGGCGTTGTCAGATAGACAGGCAAGAAGCCCTTGGAGCAAGGGGCAGCCTTTGTAAAGCAGCCAGATCAAGGTGAATGTATGGCAGACCGCGAAGAGGTGCTTACCATGGAAAGGTCGGAGATGGAGCGATGGAACGTGCAAGAAGACGATGGGATGCGTCGTTGATGAAGCGATGGAGCAACGCTGCATCCGTGATCCGTTGGATTGATCGCCAGGCACTTGCCAGTCCACAGCCAATAAGGCTTTAGTGCGGGGAAGAAAAAGGTGCGGTAGTGACGCATGCGGACGTTGCAACCCTATATGAGCCTTTTTATTTTTATATAATTTAATTATCTCTTTGCCCTCACTTCCTCGCCCACATTCACACATGCACAGACTACAGACGTGTAACGATGGACGGAAAGCGCGCGTCCCTACTAATAAGGGAAAAAGCCATGCTGTACCTGCGTTCGTTCCATCCGCAGTCTTGTTGAGTGGTACTGCAGCCTGTCGTTAACGCCTCAGCGCTCAGCTTTCGAAAGGTATGGTCGACCACTTGGTCGTTTGACGTGAGCAAATAAATGGTCCGGACATACGCGTCCCGCGAACTTCCTGAACACATATGTATATTGCATATATGAGCTCTTCAGTGTATAGGGTGGTATCCGGGGGTTAGCTTTGGAAGCCGAGTGGATGCTGCTGGAGGAGTGAGCGGAGTGTCTTACAACGCACTCAAACGCAGCCAGGGTCATCTACGTAATCTGAAAATCACCACGTGAAAGATACGACGCCACCCGCAACAGAACCCGGAGCAATCAGCGCTCGTCGGAACAAGTCCGCTTCGAAGGAGGTGCGGCGGAGATGCTGATCGTTGCTTCGAACGATGTGTTACGAGACTGGGACGGAAGCAGGGAGGTGGATGGCAAGTCGCAACAGATCGCGGCGGCGAGGGGGTCCGCATGCGGACGAGTCCACCTCGAATGCTCTCATGGAATTCGACAGGGACGACAGGGCTGAAAAATGCTGCGTACAATCACGTCCATACATGTTTCGCACTCGAGATTTGTGCAATCTCTCGGCCGAGATCCTTATCTTTCGCGAACCCTCGCCAAGGGCTTGTGAATGCGACTGCAGCAACAGGCGAGGAAAGCAAACTCTTTGATCAGGCACAGACAGGGGTGACTGCATAGCGCCTGTGTGTGAGAGCAGGTTGGCTGGGGAAACTAGCACCCACAGGTAAACCCTCTTATCTTTCGTGAGGCTGGGAGCGAGACCTCTGGCGAGATGAGACTGGCAAGCGCACGCTCCTTGCCGACTGGGAGCTTCTCTCTCCTCTGCTACTGCTATTGCTTCTGCTGTCAGCACAGGCCGCGGATGGCTTCACGGACAACCGGTGCGACACCACCGAAAGCAGGATGGACAGATGGAACCGCCTGCAAGCAGCGACAGCGCCTGCCCAAATCAATCCTTTGGTCTTGGTGCATGAAGCCAGAGTAAGAGAACCGTGCGAAAAAACCCAACCCCACGAACAAAACGACCTATGTGCTTGGGTCCCTCGCTGGTATGTACGTATAAACGTGGCCTGGCAGTTCCTGGGTCTTCTGCGCTTGCTCTGACAGTGGCGCGTGGGATCTGGGCAGCGCAGTGTGTGTGTGTGTGTGTGTGTGATGAGGGTTGGAGGATGGCATGGGGCATTTCACACAGTCGGTCATAGGTTTCGTTATCTATGACTCCTGTCGAGTGAGCATCAGCGGCGCAAAGTCGACCCGGACACGACGCCATGAGTGTATGAAAATGACGGGCACACGGTGCGAGGAAAAGAGAGAGCTTGTGTCAGAGTGGGCGTGCGACACGGGCGAAAGGGGGCAAGCGGCAATACATCTTACAAATCCGATCCCCATTCTCGCTGCGGCTGAATCAGGGTGACTTGATACCTGCCCTATGGAATAAAATGCGCTCCACAGCGAACATATAAAGCATCTGCCCCTCCACCTCCAACCCTCGGCTCCCCCCTAACCCTTGGCTTCAACTCCCTCCCCTTTCCTTTCATTTTCTTTCCCGGCCCGTGCTCCGTCGTCCCCTCGCTCGTCTGGCCTTGTTTGCTGCCAGAAGGCAACCCTCCGCCTACTGTGCGCTCGCGCTTCCCGTTTGTGGCGCTCTTGCTTCCACCCTGCGCGAGGCGTCTGCATCGTCGCAGAGACATTTGGCCCAACATGGTCAACTCGACATTGACCCCCGAGCACAACATTGCCACCACGATCGATGGCACCGAGTACATTGTGAGCGAGCCACCCTCCCCTGCCTCTACCCGCCTGGATGACGCTTTCCGTATAATCGTTGACATGGCACTTGCATTGCGAAACGATCACAGTACAACCTGGGCGACATCGCCTGGATCATCGTGGCCACCGCCCTGGTCATGATCATGATCCCAGGCCTCGGCTTCTTCTACGCCGGCTTGCTGCGACGAAAGAACGCGCTGGCGATGATCTGGATGTCGATGTGCGTCTTTGCTGTCGTCAGCATCGAGTGGTTCTTCTGGGGCTTCTCGCTAGCATTCAGCGAAAAGGCCGGCCCATTCATCGGCAACCTCGACCACTTTGGCCTGATGAACGTCGACATCCAGCCGTCAGTCGGAGGCTCGACGATCCCCTCGCTGCTCTACTGCATTTATCAGATGATGTTCGCCGCCATCACGCCCGTCATTGCATGCGGTGCTTTCGCGGACCGTGCGCGCCTTGGCCCCATCCTCGTCTTTGCGTTCTGTTGGTCGACCATCGTGTATAACCCGATCGGTGAGTTGCATACCGCGCCACATTCTTGGACTCCCCCTCCCCCTTTTTTCTTTTGAGCCAATGCAGGGCTGATTCGTCCTCTCCCAAAATTCTCAGCCAACTGGACATGGAACGTTGGAAACGGCTGGGTCAACAAACTGGGAGGCCTCGACTTTGCCGGGGGCACGCCCGTGCACATTTCCTCGGGTACCGCCGCGCTCGCCATCTCGATCTTCCTCGGCAAGCGCCACGGCTACGGCACGGACACGCTCGCCTACCGACCGTACAATGTCTCGTACGTCGTCCTTGGTACGGTCTTCCTCCTCTTTGGGTGGTACGGATTCAACGGCGGCAGCGCGCTCGGCGCCAACCTTCGCGCAGTCCAGGCGATCATGGTGACCAACACGGCTGCATGCATGGGTGGCCTGACGTGGATGTTCTGGGACTGGCGCCTGGAGCGCAAGTGGTCCGCCGTCGGCTTCTGCTCCGGCGTCATCTCGGGCCTTGTCGCCATCACACCCGCGTCTGGCTACGTCGGCACGCCCGCGTCGATCGCATTCGGCTTTGTTGGCGCGACGGCATGCAACTTTGCCACGGGCCTCAAGTCGCTCATCAAGGTCGACGACTCGCTCGACATTTTCGCCGCGCACGCCGTAGGCGGCATCGTCGGCAATCTCATGACTGGCCTCTTTGCCGACAACCGCGTCGCTTCCTTTGACGGCTCGGCGCTCATTCCCGGCGGCTGGATCAACCACCACTACATCCAGCTGGCAATCCAGCTGCTTGACTGCGTCACCGGCCTCGCCTGGTCGTTTATCGTGACCATGATCCTCCTTTTCATCATCGACCGCATCCCCGGCTTGCACTTCCGCTGCACCGAGGACGAGGAAATCCTCGGTATCGACCTCGCGCAGATCGGCGAGGAGGTGCAGTACGTCCCCATCGCGTCGGACCTCTCGTCCGAAGAGCGCGCCAACATGGATATTGGCGCTAAGATGCAGCACACGCCAAGCGATTCGTCACATGGCGAAAAGATCCCGGAAGACCTCGAGGCTGCACAGCAAGTTTCGATGCAAGCGCAATGAAAAGCGAAACCGAACCCTCGTCGGCTTGTCTCTCCCACACCCGTGGGTTCTCTCGCCATTGCAAATTGGCCACGTGCATACCCGGCCTCGCAGTTTTCTCTCTTTGAACGTTTCCTCGCATTTTCTATTTGGGCCGAGTTTTTTCTCCTTTTTACCCATTTTTGGCATTTCCCCGCTGAGCATTGTACACAAGCATTGGCGCCCACGTTTGTTGATAGATGAAGCACAGAAGAAGAAAGTAAATAAGTGCAGTCGTTTCAAATTGGAATGTACCGCATTAACTATACATGCACTGAGCGAGTGTGCCTGATCCTTAATGCGGTTCACCATCTCGGCTCCCGCGAGTCTTTTTTAAGTAAACATCGCACGCGAATCTGCGGGCTGCATGGTAGAAACGTCAAGGCAGCTGGTGGTGTGTGCGTCTCTTGCGACGATGGGATGCAGAGCTCCTAGATACCAATGAGAGGAGACTATACGGCATCGGCCAGCAGGACCCACATGGTCAGGTAGCTCATGATAGCCAGCGGCAGCAGGTTCCTGCGGACTGCCACGTCCCAATGGAACACTCTGCGGCTGGTCACCTGCATCTTCTGCCTGCGAGCGCGTGCGCGCCTCCGCGCCGCTCGGAGGCGCAGCTTATTTAGCTTGGCGAGGTGACGCACATGCACGGCGCGAGCTGCGGCGCGCGCGCGTGCGCGCGTCAAAGCAATCGCACGGTCCGAGCGAAGTGCCGCAGGTGCAGGTGCATGCACAAAGGCGTCGTGTGGTAGGTGGCCATTGCGCCTGGCAGCGCCTCTGCCTTCGCTCGTCAAGCTCGCGAGCGCTGCGTCGGCTGCGCGGAACTCTTCCAGCAAGCTGTCCTCCTCCTGCTGATCCTCCGAGTCGGTCTCCTCCGACTCGTCAAGCTCCGTGTTGCCCGGCTCGCCCATGATCAGCTTGAAGAGCCTGGAGCTGCCCTTGCCGATCCCACGGCCGCCACGGCGAAGAAGTCCATCCGAGGCGGACGCGTCATCGTCCGGGAGCGGCATATCGGCAATGTTGCTGGTCACCCACCGGGCGACGACGTCCGAGAACGCCGATGTGGACGCGATGACAACCCATGCTCCGAGCGGCTGCTTGGGGCCAAAGACAAAGAGTGTCAGCCGTACGAGTGGCCAGCAGATCGACTGCAAGGCGAGAAGACGGATGAGGGATGGAAGCAGAGAATAGTAGAGCAGCCATCTTCGCAAGAGCAAGGTGGTGAACGAGAGCGCGTAGAAAGCGGTACCCAGACTCTGCAACGACCCGAGATGCGATGCTTTAGAATCAGCCTTTGCGTTGCTAACCCTGCAGTGTGATGCGGACTTACCCAAAGACAAGAGACAAAGAAGTCGAGCGGTCCCGGATCTCTACGGTCGCCTAGTCTCCTCAAGTCTTGTTGTTGCAGCGCCAGAACAACCGAGTTGCGTAAAAGCCAAAATGTGCCTAGCAGACCAGGCACGGCGGCGAGTAGGCGCAGGGGATGGAGGAGGATGAGCAGGACAAGAACGTCATCTTCTGCGCCCCCGGCCTTGCTATCCCCTGCGAACGCGCTGGCAGCGCCGCCATCCCCTCCAAATTCAGACATCATGTCTGCGCCTTCTCCGCCACTGGTGACGCCATCGAAATGGCTATCTGCATCGCTGCGCATGCTGTCGGGCGACAAGTCGTCGCCGAGGCTCGTCGCTGTCGCTCTTCGGTGGCCGAGATCACCAGTCTGCCCCGGCGCTGGCAGTTCGCGCCCAGTGGCGACTGGGGTCAGGCTAACCATGCGAGACATGCTCGCTCCATCGTGGCTCGCAGCTCTCCGGCGACGCCTGCTGCGGTACTCCGTGACGCCCTGGCGTTCTTCTGGCCTGATATTAGGATCCAGCGCACCTCGTTCGTCGCCTTCATCACCTGCGTGCCGCCTCCGACGTCGCAGATCCGAGCCATTGAGGCTCACACAGAGCGCATCGGTCGGAGCGCGCTGCTCGTCATCCGACGGCGGAGCTGTCATAGTATCGCGGTTATGGTGCGGAAGGAAGCCAGGTTGCAGGGAAGATTGCGGCGGCGAGTATGGAGGCGGCACGTCGTTGAGGGGTAGTTGAGAGGGGCTTTGCGTGGTGTGCTGCAAGCCAAGGGTTGCAGCGTGGGCACGAGCCGCTTCGAGCCAGCGGATGGCCGCTCCATCGCTGTGGGAAGCTGATGCAGAGGGTAGGTGTGGGTTGTGCACAGTGAGGAAAGAGGGAGTGGTTACGGCAGCGGCGCCAAAGTACCCGGCGTTTGCAGCGGCTACGGCAGCGGCTGCGTTACTATAATCGAAGGAAGATGACGGCTGCGTCGAGCTGTGAAACGGTGTGTGGATAGGGGAAAAGCTGTGCGCTAGACGCTGAAGCTCGCCAAGATGAGGACTGGATCGAACCCGAGGAGGGGGCACCACGCGGATCCCCGCGCCGTTTAGTCCAGCAGGAGTCGGGCCGTCCAGGTCCAGGTCCAGGTAGTCTGCTGCCGCAGAGGACGATGGCGTGGAGGGCCGGGTCGAAGAGCGACTGCCTCTTCCGCTTCCACTTGAGAGATGCGCGGCTGACGGTAGTTGAGATTCTTGATGCGCATGGGACGACGCTGAGGAGTTTGCACGGCCACGTACTCGCGGTTTGCGAGGCCGCGAGCTGTTACCCTCGTCCCTGCGGCGCCCAGACGAGGATGTAGACGGGGCTGCAATGGTTGGCCGCTCGAATCCTCGCTCTGGCGAGCTGTCCCTCGGCGATGGCGGAGCATTCGTGCTGGCCGGGGTGAAGCCTGAGCCGATATGCCATGTCCACGAACGCGACCGGTCTCGCGAGCGCCTCGCCTGTTGTCCTGTCTGAGCTTGCTCGAGCGCTACGGCAGAGCGATGAAGCGCACGTGCGGTGTCTTCGGTGGAAGCAAAGGTCGCGAGGGTCATTCCGTGGCCGGCATGGCTGTTTTTGTCTCTGTCGTCCGCAGCAACGATGGAACGACTCTTCGATGTCTGTCTGGATCTTCGCTTTCTGTTGGAGCTCTGCGTACTCTTGATGGATATGTACGAATCCGAGTCTCTGCTGGAGGAGCTGTCGGCTTGCTCCCCCGCTGCTGTGGCTTCTAGAGCTGATGCAGAAGATGGCGTCAACATCGGCCTCCTCGATGGGCCAGCATCTGCATCCTGGTAGCCTTGCGAGGCAGCAACGAAGCTGCCATTGCGAGCAGGTCTGACAGCAGCGGGGGCGCCCGGCGGCGGCGATGGGCTCGGAGCTGAGCGGGAAACGATGGGGAAGGAATGGGCGCTAGGCGGAGCGAGCGTGTGCAAAGCGAGGGAGGAGGCCCTGCTGGAAGACCTGGAAAGTTCTATGGCGGCCGCGTCCGGGCTCGACGGACGGAGTGGTATTGGCGACTCCAGTTTGCCGATGATCGGAGTGGTCTCCCTTCTCGAGTACTGTATAATGACAGGTCCGTATGCCAGTCTAAAGAAACTCGAGGGAAGAGTCGTGGTATCAAACGAGATATGGCAGTGACATTCGAGCCGCGAGCACTAATTCAGGGATGGCCCGAGCTGTTGGATGAGCCTGGCAAGCCTCGCACGTTTGTACGCCTGCTTGCTTGGAACTTCGTAGTCCCGAGGGAGGGTGAAGGGGGGGTATGTGCAAGGGTATATATGTGTTTGCTACCTCTCCCAGGAACGACACACCCTGTATGGACACGTTGACAGCAGCCTGGCCATTATGTTCATTGTCAATGCGTGTACCACGTATGCAAAGCTCTAATTGAATGGAATGGTCGAGCTTTGCATACGTACGGAGGAGAGGATGCGCCACAGGGCACTGCGACAGTCGCGCAGCTGCACCGCAGGCCACCAATACAGGGAGTTGGACGAGATTTATTCAAGGGCACCTCGGAAGAAACCCCCAGGCCCGTTGCTGTGGCCGATGGAGATATACCACCCTGCATTCCCAGTCCAACCTGCGTTGCATCGGCCGGGTAGAAGACCCTGCTGAGAACATGCTAGATGCGGCACTTCAGCAAGGACCGCGACAGATCGATGTGCATCATGCTTGGTAGATGTCTGCGCCGCCCCTGCTCGCAAGGTGGATGAACGTCTGCTCGTCATCTCTCTTGAGCGCAGTGCAAATATGTAGATCTGTCGGCTGCACCATTTCAAAGTTCAAACCGTTCTTTGTGCTAACCGTTCGTCGGCGCTTTCATCAATGATTATCGAATGTTTCGGCTCGCGAAGCCACGCAGTGTTAGACAAACAAATCTAAACGGGCAGAACAGAAACAGCCTTCTGGCGTTCCGCAATGCTCTTGCTGCTGGTTTAGACCTGTTCAGATTCAGGTGTAGCGCCTCCCCACATCACGCTGATATCAGAAACTTGACTTCATATGCTTTGCAAAGCTATGGACCAAGTGCACATTGCATGTTAGTCTTCAAGTTCGGCCGAGCGCAGCTGGACGTAGCTGGTGGTTGCAGACGACCAAATTTATCTGGAATTCATCTGAGCGCAAGTGCTTGGCCACGCAGTCATGCATCTGTATCCGCGACGCAGCGCAGGGAGCAGGGTGATGTTACTTCGTCAAAGTCAATGAGACGCCCATACCAGCCGCTGGTTTTGATGTGTCGAAGGCCGCTCCCCGTTGATCGTTCGCGGCGGTAGGTCGCGATGGACGGTCGTCCGGCTGTGGTCAACATACATGCGTGCGGAGCGACGCGGTCCCCACTTTCCGTTGTATCCAGCCCTGGAAACCTATGTTGTAACCATGCCTCTCATAGCGCAAGGAACAAAGGTAAAACAAGGTTTCAAGTGTCGATACTAGGGATATTTCCTTCATGTAGGCGTATGAACGTACGGCGATGAGCCACACATGCATTACATTCTAGGGCAGCGCAGAGCACGTTTACGCCCAATCCCAATTCCTTCGCGAAGTGTAAGCGGGAACCGAAGGTTCTGCGAGAGGCTACCGCTCGTCTGCGTGTCGCGTGAGCCTTCGAAGTGACATTGACAGCTTCGATTCGGCCATCCCGCTCCCCACCACACGATCCCTTATTGACGACTCGATTCGGATGCCATGCTCCCGTCTTTTAGGGCTCTAGCGGCTCAGCAAGCGCTGAAGCTCGCCGTCATCGGTGCCGGACCATCAGCGTTCTACGCTTCAGCGCGCGTTCTCTCCCACTTCCCTGCCGGCAAGGAAAATGAGTGTGACGTCGAGGTGCACATGTTCGAGCGTCTGCCGACACCACATGGGCTGGTTCGGTATGGTGTAGCGCCAGACCATCCGGAAGTCAAGGTTCGTTCATGTTGTGCATCATTTAGCCCAAGCTCGTCGAGGCTGTGCAAAGGCTCACAGCAGCTCTCATCCTGTCGGCTTGGCAGAACGTAGAACATAAGTTCGCAGAGGTCGCAAAAGATCCTCGCTTTCATTTCTATGGCAACGTCAATGTTGGACACAGTCCGACAACCTCGGCAGCTGCTTATCCGCTTGCAAACCATGTCCCTCTCTCCTCACTCTTGCCACATTACACCCACGTCCTCTTTGCATACGGCAGCTCGCTTGCTCGTCCGCTGGGCATTCCAGGGTCCGCCCCGGGAGAGTTGGCAAACGTGCACTCCGCCCTCGACTTCGTGAATTGGTACAATGGCCACCCCGTCGCACATGATCCTAGCCTTCGGCGAGCAGGCGCTGCGTCATTTGAGTCTTTCGCCTCGCACGGACGGTCGTTGGAGCACATGACCATCATTGGTGCAGGCAATGTCGCGCTTGATGTTGCGCGTATCGTCCTGCGCGCTTCATGTAGCGGCTTGCAAGGCAGCGACACGCCGGCAGCGCGTGCCTACCTTGCCCAGTCAGACGTTCCCGAACCGGTCCTCGCAGCTCTGTCCCAGAGTCGCATAAACGAGGTGGACATTTTCGCTCGGAGAGGTCCAGCACATGTTGCATTCACCAACAAGGAGCTCCGGGAGATGATGGCGCTGCCAGGAATTTCCTTCCGCCCGGCTGACAAGACGCAACTCGATGAAGCGGAGCAGCTCGTCGAGCGCGCCGAACACGAGGGTACGGAAAGGGGGAGTGCAGAGGCAAAGTCTGGAGCAAGGGTCAAAATGCGCTTACTTTCGCTCTTGGCCAAAGGCAGTCAGACCAAGTACGATCCGGCGCGCGAGGGCAAGTCGTGGGGCCTCAATTTCTTCCGGGCGCCAGCAGCCCTGTCTGGGCCAAAAGTACAAGATGGACCCGCAGGACCACCGAGACCCGTGAGGCAAGTCACCTGGAACCTCACGCAGCTCCCCAACCCGCGGCCGGTGGCAGCAGGCGCAGAAGCAAGTATCGTGCACGACAGCCGAGCATGGGGCAATCCCGCTCCGGTGAATGTGCCGGCAACAGGCGAGCAGGAAAAGAGGCCCACAGATCTTGTGATTTCAAGCATTGGTTACCGGTCCGAGTCGATCGCCGAAGCTGCTGGCGACCATGATCTACCTTTCGACGACTCTCGCGCTGTCGTGCCCAATGAGGGTGGACGTGTCACGACGTTGCCGCAAGGGAAAGTCGTGCCCGGGCACTACGTCTCTGGCTGGCTCGCCCGCGGGCCGGTGGGAGTCATCGCATCGACCATGTATGACGCCTACTCTGTCGCCGATTTACTCGTGCAGGATTGGCAGCAGGGAGTCGCACAGGCTCATGGTGGCGCGGACGGCCTTCCGGCGGAACTGCGTCAGCCGACGCACAAAGTGGTGACGTACAAGGACTGGCAACGGATAGACAGCATAGAAAAGGAGCGAGGCGCCAAGCTAGGCAAGCTTAGGGAGAAGATTCTCAGTGAGTTGAATGTCCACTCGGGGTCTGGAAATACGTCTGACTCTGGCCGCCTCCGGCGATCTGCACTCCACACAGCCGTTCAAGAACTGCTTGAAGTGGCAAGCTAATTGCAAACAAAATTGCATGCATACTCCAACTGTATCCTACAACACCGCCCTTGCTAGACACCTCACTTGAACATCACTTGAATGGCTAAAGAATGAGCACCGTCTTATCAGCACTTCCTGTACTTGGGGCAGGCCACTATTGTCAAGCTGGGACTCACTATATGCCTTAGTGTCCGGATCCCAGTGACTCCACGTGCCTGGTTCTTCCCTTGGCCGCGTGTTCGGCATAGCTGAGAGTACCAACGTCTCGCTCTGGTCCACCTCTCGTGCCTGCAGCTTGAACGCGATCGTCTCATACGGCTCGGCAGCGACGACGAGGTATTGCCATGCGCGATTCTGCATCTCGATGTGCTGCTCAAAGCTGCTCATGAAGCGATGCATCGGCCTAACACCACCCTTGATCTCAGGCAGCTGCACTTGAAATAACAGGCCTATCCGCCCACCCATGCTCTCCCGCGTTTTCCTCTCGCTTTCCGACTCGGCAACGTTAGGAGGTGCCATTGGAACTGGCTCGCGAACTTTGGTGACTTTGTACCCAGGTCGCCCGATCTTAACAAATTGCTTCTTGGGCTTTTCGTTTGCCAATGGGGCAGTCAGGAGCAGATTCGGGTTGTATCGTGCTTGGTCTTTCGCCTCCTTCGCAGCTCTTCGCGCCAAGTTGGTCTGGTGCTTTTTACCTTGTGTATGCGATAGGTAAGAGCCTTCATTTGTATGCAGCGTTAAGCATAGACGACATTCGATACCTCCAAGGTGATTCCGAAGAATATATGGGTCCTGAGAGCGAAAGGATATGGGTAGCAGTCATTAGCTATCACGACAATCTCACATATTTGTACCTATAAGAGCAGAGTCCCACCTTGTTGATATCAATTGTCTCCAGCGCAAGCTTGCGTAGTCGCTCCCTTCGATCGACATTGGCCTCGGACGCTCCTGCTACACCAGCACCTTTATTACCCGCGCGATTTTGATAGTCTGTGCGATCGGAGAGCACTCATCAGCAAGTCTTCCTCTTTTAACGATCAGCAGACGATCAGCCACTCACCCATCTTGACGCCGTTGGCAACTTCCTAGTATTGCATTGAGGCGCGCAATTGATTCCAATGATTCTAACACCCAATTTGGATGCAGTCAAGTTGTGAGCCACCTTGGTTCTGGTTACATGCGCCGTAATTGTGCAAAATCTCTTCGGATGCTGCGCGCCTCGTGTTTCGTCGTTCCGCCCACGGCCCAATACAATCTAGAATCGTTAGCGTACTATAAGGTGGAAGCTTGGAGCGTTGGCGGATGACTCTGATTAACACTCTGAGCCGGTTGGCCGTGCCTTCCTGTGGAGGATGCCCTCTGCTGACCGCTACAAAGGACTGTTTCGTGCATGTACATGCGTTGCTACGGGACTGCCGGCGCTCGCTGTTTCGCAAACTCGAGATGGCGAGCTCGAATGGAATTGACGATGCGCCGCGAGATGTAGTGCTGCTGTGTTCGGTTTCCTACATGGGGTTACACGTTCTAACTCAATTCTAGCACTTGGCCATGATAATCGATAATACAATATCTTGATGATGCAGGGGAAATGCAATGTAGATCTTCCTTTTGTAGGATCAGGCTACTCATGCAAAAGAGCAGTAGGATGACGGTAGTGGAGGTGGTCGTGGTGAGGCTGATCACAAAAATGACCACAACTGGTGATTACCGATGGAAAATCGGGCAAAGGATGGCTGTACTGCTTCTTGCTGTTGATGTGATGAGATACTTGCGAAATGGCTTGCAAGCTTGCGATAGGGAGGCATGAGAAGGTCAGTAGGCGAAAGAAATTGGTTGACAGTTGTCGCCATGTGCCGGAGCGGCGATTACGGCTCGCGAAATTTGGCCAACTTACCCTTCCATTGAATGAAATTTGATGACGATCCGCATAGCCTCCTCCCTCGCTAGGCTGACTGGAGAGGGGCCGATAGAAAGCGATGTCACCGTCCATAGTCTGGAAGCTCGCGTATAGAGTCGCCCAGTCGACTCGGAGCCTGGTTGATTAGGGGTTCCTGGTAAAGCTCTTCTGCAGCGTTCATCGACGAGAGAAGGTGGTGGCTATCAAAATCGGAGGTCTCGTTGAACAGCTCTCCCGGCACGCCACTTGCAACCGGATGATTGCCCTTCCAGGACGACGACGGCGGCGGCAAAGCGGCTCCTTGCGTGAGCGCTGCTCCTCGGGAGTTCCAAATAGCATTGCGCTCTCCTAAGATGATCCCTGACCCTCCCTTCAGTTGCTCGGGTAGTCCGGACCCTGGCTCTGTGGTGCAGACACTGCATGAAGATGCTCTCGATTGTGATCTTTGGCATGGAACACCAGAAGCGAACAAATGACTCACTCTTCCACTTGGCTACACGACTCATCGTCGAGCTCGTCGAGCTCCTCGTCGCCTACAGACACTGCCTGATCAACGCTCGCCGCGTGGTCGGCGCCCGCGCAAAGCCTCGACGATCGCTTGCGAGGAGTAGGCACCGCCTCGTAGAAGCAAGCACGATCTCCGATGCGGCACTGCTTGCAGGGCGTGCCGTCCTGTGAGCACTTGACCTTGCGCTTCCTGCAGACCAGGCATCCCGTCCTGCTGCGCTTGAATTTAGCGCGACGGGTCGTTCCGACGCCGCTGCTGCCGATACTGCGCGATAATGGCAGCAGTGCGCCCATCGTAGGCGAGAAGTCCAGAATGGTTCCCGACCGGATCAGTTTGTTGGAGGACGCGCGCTGACGCTGCGGCTGCGCAGGTGTCACAGATGCCGATGAGCCAACCGAGCTTTCCCGGACGGACTCTGAAGCACTGTGCGACGCAGCACTATGCTGAAACGCGTAGATTCCTGCATGTGAGGGAAACGCCGCAGCACTCATGCTGCGAAGACGTGAATGTGTGACCGGATCAGACATATGGCCTGCGTCGACGCCTGCTCCGGATCCGGAGGAAAATGAGGCGCGGTGGGATTCGGAAAGCGCGGACGGAGGTTGGTGCGACAGGACAGAAGGGTGCGCTAGCGGCGGTTGCGAAATAAGCGGTGGTTGCGACATAAGCGGCGAGTCGGATGTTGCAGTGCTCCGCAAGCCAGGTTCGCCGGCGGGTCCGGCGCTGGCGCTGCTCGATCCGTCAGTCCATGGCCAGTTGCGCGACAGGACCGATGCAGAGCAATGTATGTTTGCTAGATGGCCGTAATGCGACGACAGGCCGCCAGAAGCGGCAGACTGAACTTGTGGCGCTGACGACTGGCTGTGGTACAGAGCAGGACTGAGGATCTGCGAAAAGTTGGGAACGGCCGTTGATCCTTTCAGCTACGAGATCAACGAGAGAGGCATTTCCGAACACTCACCCCTCCTGCAGGAAGCCCGGAGGAGTTGCTCGCCGAGCTGCTAGCCGGTAACCCCGCAGATGCAAACAGGTTGATCCTCGTCAACCCATCTGCGGCGGATCCTGTGCCTAGAGGCATGGCCGTCGTGGGAGGAGGCATCATGGGTTGATGCAGAGACTGAGGCCGCAGGTTAGACTGCATCGCCATCACATGCTCGTGCGGCGTCCAGGAAGACACGGAGCCGCTGTGATGCATCGGCATCGTGTTCGTGACCGACATAGGATTGGCAAATATGGATGACTGCGCACTGTTCAGCCGCATGACGTCCACGGCTGACGGGTTGGCGGCCATCATGTTGCTTGGGGCCGATGGCGCGTGCTGGCCCTGTTGCGGGAGATGGTACCGGGTATCTGATGATAATAAAGGCGGCAGATGTTGCAGTTGAGACGCAGACGAATTTTGTACGGCGGCTTGAGCGTGTCGACCGTGGTATCGAGCCTGCTGCGTTGAGTGTTCCGAATGCTGACGTACTCTTCCGGCCTGTGCCGAATCAGAGCCTGCACGAGCGGGATAGGGATGACCAACAAGACTGGAACTTGACTCGCTCCTCTGATGGAGGGGTAAGGTGGAAGACGGTTCAACTGGATAGGGACCCGGTGATAAAGGTACCGCAGCTAACGAGAATGTTGAAGGCCGACTGTGTGCGATGGCTATCCAAGCTTCTGGTTCACCCCCTTGTGGAAGGCGACTTTCCATTACCTCACGCACCAGGTAGTATCAGCGTGCAGTGAGGCTGGCCAACACGCCATGCGCTTCAGTAATGACATTAGAAAGAACATTGCGAACGCCATTGCTTACCCTCTGTTTGCTGCTTTCAGACTCAATGGTCCCAATCTGCGCCAATATGAAGCGCTTACAAACATGCGTCACCGGGACAAAGCGGTTGCTTTCGCTAGGCGATTTGTGAAGGCAGTGCGAGACTGGGGAGACTGCCGAGCGAGAGAACCTGCTCGCCTAGCGATCGCGACCGCGTCTGGTCTGGCTGTGTGCCTTGTCCAGCCAGAGATGTCGAAGCCACGACTGTGAGTATTCGGATGTGGTGCGATGAAACCCACAGCTTTGTGTCCCATCGGGCTGCCAAGGTCACTTTGAGAGCATGGGGCTGTTTTATGAAAGTGAAGTTCTGGCGAGCATTTTCTCCAGCGACGACGGCATTGGCCAGGAGATATAAAAAACGGCCGATCAGAGCGATGTAAAAGGTATGGAGGCGAAGTAAAGATCCAAGATGCAGGAAGGAGATTGACCGTGATGACCCCACAGAACTCTCACCAGAGGCAGAGATGCCATGAATTGAATTGCATTGCATTGACACCGACAAGAGATGTGGCCCGGTCTGTTCTCCCAGGCCCAGGCCTGCCCCAGTCTCTCTCATGAACGCCTCTCCGCCAGCGTCCGACGGAGCGGCTGCAGAAGAGAGCTGCTGCCGACTCGGCCAAGCTCATCGGCCTCTCCCTCACTTTTTCTGTCTCTGTCACCGAACTGAATTAAACACACAGTTTGATGAAGACATGAGTGTGCTTGCATGTGTACGTACATACGCACTGCGCTTCCATCAAGATATTCCATGAGCACAAAGCAGGTGACCCACAGCAGCCAGCAGGAGTGTCTCGTACGAGTTTTAGTGAGGGGCCGACGGCGAAGAGTGCTCTCCCACCAGGGTCCCACAGCAGTGCAACAGGCCACAGCTGTGCCTGCCTCGTTCGACCCACCTTTTTGCTTTGTTTGGGACTGCAAGCAATTGTGCCCTCGTGCCTGCAACACCACCTCACGTGAGCTTCAGTCGGTTCCGAAACCCTCTGTGGCACAGCTGAAAGTAGCTGACAGCCTGGAGCACGGCAGGCGAGGCGGGCAATTGGCAAAAGGGGGTTTAATTCCCCTTTTTTGCTGGTGGCACCCCAAGATGCCCAATTGCGCCCATCGCCGCGTATCCCCTTCCCTGGTTCGACATGAATTTTCCTGCCAGAGCCAGCAAGCAGGCCCCCGAAGCTGCCATATTCGTCAGACGGACGCCATGGCTGCTGTTCCTCCGCCAACTTCGTCGTCCTTCGACGTTCGAACCTGCGCTTGCCACATGTGCATACATACCGATATGTGAAGTCGGACCCCGGGTCTGCAGTGTGCACAAAGCACTCAAGCCGCTTCAAGAACAGGGTAAGCAGGATTTGCTTGGTGAGAACGAACTTGCCTGACGCGATGACGGTGCTGACACTTGCTGAACTCTCAGATACTCAGTCACTGGACAGGTGGGGCAAAGTGGCGGATGGGTTGACAGGGCAGATGCGGTGACAATGGAGGGCGACCTGGAAGGCACAGAACATATAATTTTTTGGGTGCGATGAAAATGGCAAATTTTTTATCTTCGAATCTCTTGCTCCAACTCGGACACATGTGGGACACACTCAGGTCACATGCGAGCGAATGCAACTTGATAATTGCGAATTGCAAATTGCGATTACAAAATATTTCATCCAGGCACTCGTGCGCGAGCGCTCCTGCCTGCTGGAAGCTCCGAGGTTAATGGATTGCGAATGTACCCTCACTAACCTCCATGCTCCATACTCCAAACGTCGTGCTCGCCTGTGCATAGTGCGCAAAAGATATCCCACCTACAAGGGGTTAGCGCTTGCTGAGTGTGATGACTCATCCATGCGGCATCATCGAACTCGCATTCAGTTTCTACGTGTGGAGTAATATCCGCATATGTGTACATCGAGCGCTCCATTGCCAAGTATGCGCGGATGAGGGATGTGCGAAAGGGATCGCACTGCGACCCTTTCTTGACTGATCCCACCACTTCCTATTACTCATCCTGTGCTTACTAGTACTATCGTTTCAAGGTTCCAGAATCAAGGCGAACGATCTTATGGGGTGGCATCCAATGATCTTCCTCGCATTTACAATCAGATTTTATTTATTGCAGGACGAAAGGCATTTAGACTGTGCTACCGCTTCGTAAATGAATCCTTCTAAATTACACCTGGGAGCTTTGTGCACAACTTTGTTGATGCTTGGCAGCTTAATAGTCACGGATGGGCCACGGCGGGTTTCTACGACTTCATACAGTGCTACTTCTGCCCACAGTTGCATTTCGTCACAAACGGCCTGCATGAACACATACTTCATATACAGAAAGACGCCAACCAGAAGTGTGTCATAATGTGTAGCATGACGGAAGCCGGGAAGAAACGTGTCGCTCGGTACACCAAATGACGAATGAGGGCAGAAGTGCTGAAGGGCAGAGTTGTAGAGTTGTTCTGACCGCGGATCGTTCACGCCTTCACGCTTCAATGCCCTTCCTAGACCCGCTCATCGTGCACAACGTCGACATTTCTCTGTTTGAGTTCTGCCTGACGACTGTCGAACTAGAGACTTCGAGGACCCAGGTGTCACCATAGGTCGGTCGGGATTTCCAGGGAACAAAGTACCGGAAGCAGAGGGATCAGGTGCCGAGTCGCTTTCTGGGAAAATTTGCAGTGAATTGGTTGGGAACTAGATGCATTAAGTGAATGTGATGAGATGCGTGTGATTACTATTATGGGATGGGAGAAGTGTGCTGCGCATGTCAAACAAGGGTGCTGATTGATGGAACCTGAACTCGCTCGGTGTTTGCTACACTTGGCGCTTCAGCCGAATGCTTCCACTGTTGCTCCTGGTGAAGGCTGACGGTCGGGCGGTGCCAGATCTTTATCGGAAAGCTTGACAGAGGGAGTTGGAAGCCGGACAAGCCATTACACGAAGCCGAGCTCCATATCTGAACCTCTCTCATCGCAAATCGATCTACACCTAATTTGACCTGAATCTCCTCATCATGGGTTTCGGATGACTTGCGTGGAGTCAAGTATTGAAGTGGCGGCGCCAAGCCGCGGGTTATCAGGTTGAGCGGCTTTGGGAGGAGGATGTTTCAGGACGAGGCTCAGAGGCTGCTGTTTATTCATAATCTACAAAATCATCGGTGTGCCTGAACCATGATTCCCTGTAGAGTATCACTTTGAAGACCCCATCCTCCACCACAACGAATGATACTCTGACGACTGAATCGCTATGTATGGACAAATCCAAGCACACGGGCTTTTAGTAGAACTGATGGCAGGAAAAAACATCAACGTCAGTTGATGCAACGGGCGCCGCACGCGTCGGGCACATGCCATCGCCTCGTCGTGGAGCAAGCCATCGATGAACGCTTGTGGATGCAGCGCTCACAGAAAGCAAGGTAGGCCGTGCACGTCGGCTCGCTTTGTGGAGTCGTTTTGTGGATCTCTCTTTTGTCTCCTCTTCACCAGATAATTGAACCGTGTCGCTTGCCGCGCCCAGAGCGAGTTGTACCACGACATCGAGAGTCGAACAAATGTCAAAATACAGCCTGTTGCGGGATGCCTACTACATGCATCACCAAATGGACATGCGAAAATTCACCAACGCTTTCACCGGGATCGTGCCTCACGCTCGGAGCGTCTGAGGCCACTGAATGTTCAGTGTTCAAAATTGGGTCTCAAAGACAGCTCACCGCTCACGGTTTGCCTTCACTCGTATCAACCGGTCGTTCCTAATGGTCATACGCCACGCGAATCAAGAACAACCTGAGCCGAGAGGTCTTTTCCGTCCAGTCACCAAGGCAAGAATATAATGCAAGCTCACCAGAAACATGGAGTGAATGGAGAAGAGTCGTTTGGTTTCGAAAAAGTATTGAGTGGTAACCTGCATCGGTTTCTGCGCTCTCGGAACTATGGTGGAGACCTCTTACGCTCATCAATCTTGAGCTTTGGTTGATACCTCATTAAAGCTCGCCTTATGAACCGTATCAGGACCTTAGATTCGTGGCCCACCAGCAGCATACCTGAGTATCAACCTACGCCCACAGCTTCGCTATTTTCAAACTTCCTGGGCGTTATCATCATTTCATGCGTCTTGCACTATGGTCAGATGATGGTGTTTCGAACGCATCTCGAGTCCAGACGCATGAACGCCAAGATGGCACCTAGTGACGTCTGTTCGTTCAATTTCAACCATGCCGGTTCCCTGTACTGCTCATGCATGCGAATGGCCCGCTCATCGCCCTCAGTACGCGCTGGCGTGGTGCCACTGGGGCCAATAGAGTGTGGAATTGAGCGTGCATATGAACTGCTTGATTACAACTGAATCTGTATGCATTAGTTGAACCGAAGTTGGCTTGCTACAGACTTCGCAGTTCACCGCTCATATTTCACATTTCACCTCTCAAAGCTGAAGGGTTCAAGCTTCGCTCTTGAAACTGTTGCACGCGTTTGCCCATGGTGACAGCAAAGATTTGCAGGATTGGACTGGACAGCGTTGCAGAGACTGATCCTCCGTTATTCACGTCAGTCGATGTCTGGGGTTTCGACCTTATGATCTATGTAAACAGCTATGGACTCACCCGCACAGGTCTTTTATCCCGCACATCACAGGCGAGCTTGGCTATGTATCGTCCACCATGAGCTCGTGACTTGTGACCTGGTGCGAGTAGCACATCGGTTATCACAAGTTTGGGAAGACGGGAGAACAAGAGTAATGAACAGCATGACTGCTCGAGCCTGATCTGTTCGTTCACTACCCACAGTGGAGAGTGTGGAGTGAGGATGGCGACTGGGGAGGCTGGCAGCCGTGAGGTGGGCATGTCAGACCGAGTCAGACTCTGCCACTTGCCAATATCTGCTAACTGCCATCTGTACTATACCAAGGCCGAGCCGGGTGTGCGAATGGCGCCCAACGCTAGCAAAGGTGAGTAAGCACATACCTTTGTTGTCCATGCGCCCGTCCCCCGGGTCGCTGGTATCCCAGGTCGAAGCCAGATCGATTCAAGGTATAGCTAGGGCAAGCCAGTAGAGCGGTCTGCTCGAGTGCCTAAGCCTTGGATCCTTGGAGTGTGGACCGAAGTGTTGGAGCACTGAACAGGCCGGGACTCGGCCGGATGACACAAATCACAGGAAGTCAGGAACTGCCCTTACATCTTGTCTGTCCGTCTGTTTATTTGTTAGTTTCAGGTCAAAACGTCGTCCCTCGTCGATGCTCCTCGAGTCCTGCACACCTTTGACGGGAAAGGCCTGGACAGGTGGTCCGACAAGTCTCGACTGCTCAACACTTTTCCCTCCTGATCGGGCCTTTTTGAGAGGCAGCACACTGGTCAGCTGCAACGAGACTAGGATGCATTCTTGGCTTCTGTGATCGCTGGGCGAATGATGCACATACGTATTTACTCGTACATGCATAAATGTACCTACATGCAAGTACACACAAGTTTCTCACACTTCCCTTCTCTTGCGAACCATGTGAAAGAGTCGAGGCGACATGAACTTGCGGGCCAAGACGACTTAAGTTGCATCAATGCAGCACATGCCACCGTGATTGCGGCGTCTAGCAAGCCACAAGGCACTCTCTATTTGAAACTCTCTACCGTCCTCGCGGCAGAGTATGAAACGGAATGCGACGAAAGGGCGTACCTTGGCACACTACATACACGAGTTGACATTGTGTTCAATCCATTTGACCGGTTTACTTATCAAGGCATCACCAACGCATCAATCAACATGTCGATCCACGAGAATCTGCGTTTGGTGGCAGAACTAGCAATGCCGTAAAATTGCGACCATTTACTTTGTTTCAGTGCATTATACAAATTCAAGGTATCGGGAGCAGCGATGTTACATGGCAGCTCCATTGCGTACACATGGCAGACGCACGCAATACAGCGAGGTGATCCGCTGCTGGCAAAGAGTGACTCCGGGTGATCACAAAAGAGAAGAATAAGTGAACGACAAATTGGAAGACAAGGTCTCGGCATGCTTAATTATAATCTGCGACTATTCGTCGAGCCGGAACGGACGCTCTCTGCCTCGTCAGCTTCCAGTAAAGAGTGGAGTGGTTGACCGGGCTGCAACGAGGCCGGCCCATTATCAGTGATTGCGTGAAACACAGGAGCGAAGGTAGTGCTCCTTTGGCAGGAAGAACATACCTGGTAAGGTTCTCGGAAAGACATTGGGAGGGCAATGTCGTCCTCCTCCCGCTGTTCGGCAGCGTCTGTGGAATTGTCACCTGCGTCTGTCGCTTGGTCGCTGTGCGGTTGCCATCTGTGCGGCTCAAGCGCAGCAGCTGCAGCAGCTTCGAGTGGGTGCATTTTGCGCTTGGACTCAGCGGACTGGTCGGCGGACTGGTTCTCGTCGGTAAGCGCAGGCGCATTTGTCTGCTTTCCTTCCGCGCCCTTCTGTGCCTTTTCGTCAGCGGCCCTAGAAACGGAGCCAGAGGTGGAACCAGAGCCTTTGGCGGGCGGGCCGCCGAATTGCCCTGCGATCTTGGCGACACGCCCGTGAATGCGGTTGTTGATGTCGAAAGGGTTATCGATGGCAGCTCTTGTAGGCTGCTCGGTTTTCACAGAAATGGCTGCCGCCTTCGGAGGCAAATCGACTGGGTTCAAGCGGGCCCGCAAACCAGCAGCCGGGCTGAGCGGGTCATTGGAGATCGACCCTCCAGTGGCATGAGGCTGAAGCGGAGTCAGACGCACCTTCTCAGGAAAAGAAGAGACAGGTATATCCATTGCGCTTTCCGGCACGACCGGGTCGGGCGAGTCGGATGTCAGCTTGTTGAATGGCGCAACTGCCGGAGGCTCCGTCGGTTTGTTGGCAGTTTCGACCTCGTCTTCGCGCAGATAAGCCACTTGCGGAGATTCAGAGAGGTCCGACATGGGCCGCTCACATCTGGCAACAGAAGATAGGGCAGAATTGAATCCAAGAAACAAGTCTGAAGTAGGTTTTCCACCGACATTGTCGACAGGTAGTTCGGCACCACTTGGCGATCGCGATCGACTCTTCTTTAGAGAAAGGTCCACAGAATCAGCCAATTCCTGACACGAAAAGTCCGCAGTGGAGCCCATGGGCTTGCTCGAATCACGCGGAGGCGGGATGATCGCGCCTTGTGTAGCAATACGCCCTTGGGACTTGAGCATGACATCGACCCAGACGTCATCCCTGCTCTGCTTTTGCGCGTGGCGTTTACAACTACCCTCTTCTTTTCGTGGCGATTCAACCTCGTAAAGGCTTCGGGTCTCAAAGTCGACAGTGGAGGATGACTGATCGTGACCATTCTGCTGGCTGTTCCCATTCGTCCTGCTGAAGCTTGCTCCAAGCGGCGACTTTGGCGGAACGGCGGGTGGAAGATTCTGCGGCACGGACTTGCGGCCGCGCATCCGTTGGCTCCTGCTGCGGAGTACAGATATCAAGCCTCCCCGTTCCTTCGTGGGGAGTTCCACATCTAGCTTAATGTGGTGAACTGCGGGGTGCGACGTTGTTGCAGCAGGTGCTGACGCTGGAAGCGGCTTCTCCGTAGCGTTCACGTTGACTTGATAACTTTCCTGCAATGGGGAAAGCGGTGACTGCGAGAATGTTGCCCAAGTGGAACGGTCCGACTCTAGCGTCCTTTGCACGGGGTCGTTGAACTTGAGTTGCTTGGTCTGCCCGCCAGAGCCTGGCTGGAAGACGTCGTCTGGATCATAGAACGGCAGATTCTTCTCCTGCTTACCCTTTCCCAGTTTCTTGAAAACGTTAAGTTTGCGAAGCATCGGCTTGCTGCGCCCCTTCTTCCTGCCTAGAGCTTCCAGGTCGGCGCGGTACGCCGGAGGCACGATCTCAGAGATGACGAACCAGGCCGCATCCGTGCGCGGATCCTTCTGCACGAAATCCCCGAATTCGGAGCGGATGGGTGAGACGATGCTCGTGGGCAGCTGCGCTCCGGCATTGTTGCTCTGCGAGCTGACGCTCCAAGGCGTAGGGCGGGACTTGTACTGCACGACGACAAAGTTCGCAGTGCGGTGTGACAGCTCGTCGCGATTCGACCAACCGCAGCCGAGCATGTAGTCCGCCCAAACCTCGGCGAACGTCTCGTCGATCTTCGAATACGCATTGTCTGCACCTGCTGCCTGGCCCTGAGCTTGCGTGTTACCATCAATAGTGCAAGTCAAGGAAGGACTGGAGATGACTTTGGCGCGCGTGTCGTAAGAGAAATCCGGTACTTTGCGTGCCGACTTTCGCATCCGCTCGAGAATCTCTGCATGTCCATTCGGCCATCTCTCCAGCTCCTCCTTCAGCTGGTCATCGAATGACAACACCGAGTCGAGACCCGCATCGTCACCGTCGACGCCAAAGCCCGAACTCGCAAAGTCAGACCAGATCTTGGTGCCTCTCCGCTCGGAGCGATTCTTTCGCTCTGTCTCCTTCAAGTCGAACGCCAGTTTGGAAGAGTCCGTCTCGAGGAAACCGATGTTGGCAAAGTCACCCCATGCTTTCGACACCAGTGAGCTGTGCGAGTTCAGCGCGTCGTTGGGATCTGGAGAGCGTAGACCAAACTCGGAGAGCGGACCGACTGGTGGTACTCCGCTGGATTTGAGCCCTTGCAGGCCGCCACGGTAGTTGATGAGTTTCCTGAACCTGTCTGAAAACTGAGGGTACAAACCGTGCTGCGGGTCGTCCCCTCTGCATGCCTCCCATTCCTCACAGCGCACCTGGAGCTCCATTTGGCAAGCCACTTGGAGCAACTCAGGACTGTACGAGCGCACGTTGGCCTCGATGATGGTAACAGGCACGGACCGGGCGGTTGAACCGAGCTTGGCAACCTGGCTCGAGAGCATGGCTGGGTATCCAGTGATGTGATCCACAAGGCGCGTGGGAAGTGCCTCCTTCGTGGCCTGCTCACGAATGTAAGCGAGCAAGAGGTGTTCCGTCGCGTTCGCGTCTCGTACGTATGCGTCGTATGTTCTTTGGAAAGTCTCGTCTTCCGGCAAGCCGAAGAGGAGGGGTCCGAAGAGTCGAGCCAAGCGCGAAGGCGTCATGCCGTTCTTGAGCGAGTAAGAAGTCGTTGAGGAGAGCAGGGAGAATAGTGCAAGTAGCAAATCGGCATCGTCCGGCTCGAGCCGTCGCAGGAATCGAGAGAAAGCTATCGCCGGGTATCGATTGCCTGCATTTGGAAGCTAGGGTAAGTAAATATGCACACTCGCCGATGACGCTGGACTCACGTCGCTCCTCATCCCTCCACTGCATGTAAATATCTAAATCCAAGAAGCCTCGTTGCTGAACATAGGCGGTCTCCTCTTGCACATCTCCCTTGCGGTTCGGCTCGCTTACAGGAATCGGCACTGCCAGCACCTTTCCAAGCCGCGACATGGCCCATTTGATGATAGCAGCCAAGTCATTTGGGTTTGCAAAGCGAATGTCCTGCGCGAATGCGGCGGGGAGGGGAGCGTCCGGAGCGGGAGGCGTTGGGATCGGTGACGAGGCCTGAGTGCGGCTGTACGTTGGATATGGGAATGTGTTTGACGCGGATGTGGAGTGCAGAAGGCTGAGATAACAGCGAATGAGAGATGCTGTTTCTTGCGGAGACAGATCGAGGGCCATGGAAGAGAAGATGAGCGGCGTATCCAGACCTAGGGAAGGCGCCCAAAGGCAAGTAACAAGTCAGCCGACACTGATGTTTTGCATACACAAGTACCACTGCAACATACCTCTCTGTCGAATCTGTTCTCCGCACGCAAAAACGAGCTGTGCGACCCTGGTCGAGTCTAGCTCTACTTCCAGGCCCACATAGGTATATCCGTAACTGGGGTTGGCCTGGGTCCCAGTCGACACGGCGGTCGAGGTCGTTGAAAATTCGCTCTCTGCAATACTCCTCGCAGAGCTTCGCGGAAGGGTGAACGATGGCTGTGTCCGCAAGGGCCCTCCTCCGCTTCCCGCAGAATTACCGCTTCCAGGGCCGCCGCCGAGTGGCGTCAGAAGCCGCCTGGTGAGCGTGCGCGCTGTCGTTACCGTGTCGACTGTCCGGACGGACTGTTGACTGGACCGCGGATCTGGATAGCTGTGGCCGTTTTGTGACAAGGTATCCAGCTTGAGCATGCCCAGGCTGTCCTTCGCGGCAGCGTTGCCGTTGGCGAGGTAGGGTGAGTTGTGTTCACGCACGCGTGCGCGGCTGTTCATTGTGCTGCCTGGCCCCAGGATCTCGAGAGGCTCGAGACCCGCGCCTAACCTTGCTGACGTCGCCATTCGCGTCATCATGGCCGGTGGCAGAGTTCGCGCTGCGGCGGAAGAGCTGGAGGCGTTCATGAGCTGTCGCGAAGTTGATAGGCTCAAGTTTGCACCCTTGGGAAAAGGCGCTGGTGGTGGCGGGGAGGCGAGCGACATGTCGGCGGAGCGAGCACCTCCTTCGCGTCGCTCTCGTTGGTCCAGACACGGAGAAGGTCTATGTTCTCAGGTGATATGCCAGCCTTGTATGGGTTAATATGCTTGTGGGTATCGCTCCTCACCAGAAGCGAATGCATACTGACGAACGATGTGCAAAGAGTCCCCCAGAGAACGCTTTGACTGTGGCTTGGAGGGGAGGCGGTCTCCGAGGTACGGCCGTGGTACTGTGGACTGTGGTAGCGCGAGGCGGTGATGCCCCCTGCGGCTCCACTTCACTCAGACTGATGATGAGACTTTTGGCGGTGAATTTATGGATTGAGGACGGTTCTAGAGCTGTCTCACAAACCCTCGACTACGCTGTCAGATGCATCTACGATCGAGGCCACCTCACATAGCATTTTGCTTTCACAAATGGCATCGTCGGCGCTTTACAAACAAACGGACAGAGACGATGGATTCTCCATAAGATGGGCATCCAGCTTGCACGTAGGCTGAAGATGGAAGTGCACTGTGCATGAGCTCCATCATACGTGCATACGTAAGTGGGAAGAATGATCAACCGCCCCAGGCCCTACATCGTAGAGGAAGACCCAAGCAGAAGACACAGAAGGCGCTGAAGGAGATCGTTGTGCCGCGCGAGTGCCGCAGCAAGTGTAAACAGAGGCAAGTTGGGTTGCGAGAGCCGCGGGTCGCACTGGCAGACACTCAATACTCAACCAATACGCGGGTTGCTGAGCCGCACCAACTGCCGATGACCCGAAGAAATGAAAGGCTTGATTGAGTGCGAAAGGGTTCAAAGAAGAATTCCTACTTTCCACAGTGGCTTTGGGCGCCAAATGCGCGCAGGCTTTCATCAAGACTCTCATGGATGGCTTCATCGGAGTGCAGGAGGTGCTTTGGTCCTTGCTGAGCATATTAGACTTGGGCTTCTCAAGTCCCTCGCTTAATCGCTCTCTGCGTTCCATTGCCTCCTCAGCCCTCAGTTTATCCTCACATGATTGTCAAGAAAGAAGTTCAAATTGCAGAGAGATGCCATTCGGCCTCGCGCCTTTGGGCAATGCTGGCCACCGGTAATCTGTGCAGGTAACCCGCCATCACCCTTGTGACCATTTGCTCAAAAGTTGGGTCGGTGTCGAGCACTTCAATGTTATCGCACCACGAGTGTGCGTGGCCGTTGGCAGGCAGGAGGATAAAATGATGCCCTCATGAAAGGATGAACTTGCGTGACAATAGCCGGAGATGGCCGCCACTATGTACATGCCAACTATGTTATATGGTTTCCTAAACTGCTCCCTTCGTGGCTGAGACTGAGGGCACAAGGTGCGAGATCAAATGTTGTGTACTATCGTATGCACATAGAGGAACTCGATACATTGAATCGTACAATTGTGTAGCGAAACATGCTCTCGATACAGCATCATCGTACATCGACAGGACGATGAACTGCAAAGGTGCGAGAGGGTGACTTTCTCGCTTGAGATGCTCTACGTATCAAGCAAGACCTTACGCCCAGCATCCAGATCCTTTCGAGTCCGCCGTTTGGAAGTCTGCAAATTCGTTATTCACATACATGCGAACATTTCATCACATACATTAAAAGTGTGTCGATATACTATGTGAGGCGATGGCAGCATGCACACGCTCCAAACAGGGATAAAATACCGTCCTTTCAAAAGGTCTATAAAAGCAGCAGAAATGCCGAGCATGTGCGTCGGCCAGAGTGCACACTGCACAATCTACTTGGTCTTGAGAAGTGCCTCCTTGGCTTCCTTGTCCGTCATGCCGTTGGCCATGAGCTTCTTCTGCTCCTTCTGCCTCGCGCGGTAGCGCTTGTAGCTCAGGTCCGTTCCCATCAAGTGGTCCCACCACCTGAAGCTGGTCGAGTAGCAGCCGACAAATGCTTGGTGGTGGTAGTCGTGGTGGTCAGCTCCGCTCCCTGTTGGGGCGAGAAAGCAGGGCAGAATAGAGATTTGGTCAGTAGGTGTGGAAAAACCTCGACATGTTGGGAGACTTACAGAATGGAATCCAGTTGTGCATGGAAATGGGAAAGTCGTAGCCCGAGTGCGCATCGATAGCTTGGAAAAGACGCAAGACGATCCAGATGTAGACAGTCAAGATGTGCAGGTCGCGATTGAGGGCACAGAGCAAGAAAGGTCCTCCGATCGTGCCAGTGCCCAGGATGAACACTTCGAGCGGATGCGCGTACTCGGCCGCAAGTCCGAAAGGAGCAGCGAACTCGTGGTGCTTCTTATGAATGTACTTATAGAGTGGGCCCCAGTGCAAGGCGCGGTGTGCCCAGTAGTGGAACGTGTCCTCGAAGATAAAGAAAAGACTGATTTGCCATGCGATCTTAAGGATCGATGGGAATGGCACAGAGTGCGTCGACATGCCCAAGTACTCGCAAATCGGGTGGAACGACCAGATCTGCGGCAGCTCGACGGTGAAGTGGGAGAGCAGTACGTATTTGGTGCAATCCCATTGCTGCTTTGCTGTAGGGATCTTGTCATCTTGCAGCTTGTACTTGCGCATAGAGGGCATAGCGTCGATGATGATGAACGGGATCGCACGCCCAAAATAGACGATCTGAAGGAAGCAGTGCACATTTCCAACTCAGCACGCAGTGTGGCGAGCATCTTGTCACAGGACCTGCTGACTCACCTCATGCAGCACAAAGCTCATGATGCCAGTGGCGATGACTGGGTTTCCCCAGTACACGTACCACTTGAGCCACCATTGCTCAAAAATGTTCAGTGTTGTCGCGTCGACGCCAGTGTACAGGTCAGCGCCGTAGACGGGGGTCGTCGGGTTGATGAGCGCCTCGACCGTCTGGTTGAGCGTGGTAGCGATGTAGTCCATCTTGCCCTTCGTACGTTGGTAATCAGTTGGTGGTGGCAATGGCCAGTGAACGTAGCTGTTTTGTGTCGTGCACGCACACAAAACACGGCCGTCACTGGGTGCAGCTCTGCGGTCTATATATGGACAGCAGATAAGACCTCAGGCCATGAGGAAGCAAAGATGGTTTAAGCAGTGGCCGAAAGAAGAGAGAGTGAAACAAGAATGAGCTGACCTGGGCCGCACCCAACATGGAAGAAACGTTGGAGTGCTAGACCAGCAGGCGGCTGCGCCTATGTCTTCACTGTGTGGCTCTCGCGAAACTGCTCTCTGGCGTTCAGTCTGAGCAAGTTTCATGTCAAGCCCTCGAGTCGCGGAAGAGAGCCTGAGCAGCACTGTATCAGCCTTCCGTTCGACCGTCGGCGTCTCATATTTTGTTCCTGATGCGTTCCGCTCCAATTTGGGCTTATGGGTGGGCTATAACAACAGTGGTCACGGACGAGTTATGGCGTTCGCTCTCGGCCGAGAGCTATATTCCCAGGCTCTTCGGACTTCGTAGCTTCTCAGTTCATGTTGAGTATTTTGAATAGTAATCCTGTACCATGCATGCGCTTGGTATGCTTGAGGCTCGAAAGTCGAAGGGATGTTCTCCCCACGATGAGGCGTCCTCTCGACTTTGAGATCTTCGATGGGTGTCGTCTCCTATTGACCAGTCTCCAAATCAGATATGTTCGCCCCTTCTGGTCAACATGTGCTCCTCTCAAACTCTGCACACGACCCAGAGAGAACTCACGTCTGCCTCCGCACGCTCCACCCACCAAGGCGCACGAGTCCAAAACGTAAAATCCAACTGGGGAGCTTTAGCTGTTTCTGTCGCTTTGTGGCTTGATAGTGTATATTGCAAAGCTGCTTATATGCTACATGACCAATCTCATGCCATCGGTATGCTCGCGCTCAGCCATCAAGGCGGCTTTCTCAATCGCATTCCGTAGTGTTCACAATTTAAAGACTCCGACGGCTTGCTGAATGCCATTGTAGACCACCGTGTTGTTCGCTGGGACGTACTGCCGTGTCACCAGCTTGATCACCTCTTGCGCAACGATGCCGCCCATGAGCGCAGAAGTCGAAGGTAGCGAGCTGTGACCTGCCCGAGCCCTGTCGATTGCAGAAGCACGTGTGGCACTTAATTTAGCCACAGACTGCAATAGAAGAAGAGACTGTGAACGAGAACTTACATTTCCTCAGCAGCATTGTCGATAAGCTCCATAATGTCCTCGTTCGCGATGTCTGCGCCGTATTTAGGCGCGAGGGTCCGCGCAATGGCCTTGAGCTCGTCGCTGTCCGCTTCGATGTCCTCTTCCTCATCATCCCCGTCCGCATTCGCATCCGCAGAAGAAGTCACGGCGCGACTGAAGGCGGCACTCGCGCCTGGGAAGCGACTATGTTGGTTGTAGAAGATAGAGGCGGCCAGGAAGGCGATGTGATGAGGCAGCGTCGGCGGCTGGATGTCTGGATTGTATGCAGAGACTGCGAAAAGGACAAAGTACGGTGGTGAACAAGTTAGAAATGAAAAAGGCAGGTAGACCATAGAAGTCGACGCACAAGAATCAATGGCATTCGGGCTGTCGTGTTGTTCTTTGAGTTTCTTGCCACAGATCACTACAAGGAATGCGGCATGCTTGACAAACGTACGGACTTCATGGTCCGAAATAGGCGCGGTGATGCCCGCTTTTTTGAGGGCAACATCCAAGTGCTGCCGAAACGCTGCCAAGTCGGCCTCAGCTTTTTCGTAGTAAAGCTTTTGGATCTGAATGTACGTCGCGGAGAGCGCCTTCATGTCCGGTATTGAGCCTGGCTGTGGCAAGTAGCCACCCCCTCCAGGCGGTGAAGCCGTTGGTTTGGCATGGACAAAGGAGCGCAAGGCACGGGCGAGAAGCCAGAAATTCGTCGAATTTCGATTGATCTTCTCGCAGGCTGCGTCTTTAAAGAGTTGTTGAATTTCTGTAGGAACTCCAGCTTCTCCAGCGGCATTCTTCTCCTTCAGCTGCCTAATGGGTCGCCAAACGTGCGAATTGAGAGCCGCAACGGCCTCTTCCACGTTCTCTGAATCCACCTCGCCTGGGTGCTTACACGCCCACACCTTGTCGGTAAACGATTTGCGATCTACTGCCGGGTCCGGAAGAGCTCCGCCGTGCTGTCGACGCGGAGCGGAGAGAACTGTTAGCAGGTATTGCGAAAACGGTCGGGTAAAGTGACGCACCTGTTCCTTCCACTCATGCAGTGTTCGCATGAGGAGAACGATAAATGGGATGTGAGAGCGCTCCATGCTGTCTTCTGGTTGCACGTGAACCGACAGAGCGTATTTTTCCAGCTCCGGCCAGGGCGCAGTGAGACGTAATGATACGAGCGATTCGGGGTGTGTTTCGATGACTGGCCGCGAGAATATGATCAGAATAAACGCTGGGCTTCCGTTGGCCTATTCACAGACTCACTTCCAGCTTCCTTGATCTGGAATGCGGCCTCGCCTACCAGCCCTGAAGTCCTAACACTCAGCAAAGGGAGTGACGCCGCAGTGGAAGAGGACGATGACGCCCCAGCTGGGTTCCAACAGAGCTCAGAAAGCGCGTAAAGAACATCATCGGGCTGATTGGAGGCGATGATCAGGCTGAACGCGGTGAAGAATGACGGATCATGGGGCAGTAGTTCCCTTACATCCTGCCAGAATGGCCGTATAATCAGGCTATGAGCCCAGCTCTTCTCAACGAGATCTCGCTCATGGACCATGGACACGTACCTCATGCCGTGCAAAACCCTTCACATTCGGGTTGAGCTCAGTCAGCAGCCGTACAGCATCATCGGCTCTCCAGCTGGCACCGTTCTTGGCTTCTGGATCCAGGAAGAAGTTTGCGCCTCTGTCAATGTCGAGCGTTTTGCGCGGGTCCAATATGGTGAAAGAACCGATACCGGGAAGAACAAGATTCTTTAGTGTAGATGTTCCAGTTGGCGTGCAGCCGATCAAAAGAACAGAAGCAGACTCTAGCGATGCTTGTCCGGAAGACGCCCAGAGACGGAGCTGGCGATCGTAGCGCTGGGTATGCGCGTCGGGCCTATTTCCGGAGGGGATCGAACGGAGTTCAGACATGCGAATGAGCCACTCCTTTAGGTATGGACGGCTGATGATGCATTTATGTTGCCTGGCAGCTCGAACAAGCTAACTCACCTTTCTGTGGACGCCATCTCGAGAATACGCTCAGGCTCTGCAACGGGATGTTAAGCAAGTTTGACTCGGGGAAGCGCAGCCGAACCGGCGACAAGAGCTTCAGCTGGTATAAGCAGTCGCAGAGACGGTGAGCGGCCCCTCCACGAACCAGTGCTTCAAAGGTGGGTGGACAACCGGCACCCCCAATCAGTCTACCTTCGTATGATCGTCGTGTTCATCACAGTCCCCTGTCGAGCTTGGGCGCTCCGTCTAGACAAGAGTGAGGATAGAGTGCCGCGTAAGGCACAGATCACGGCCAACGGGATGCGCGGTGCACCAGGATGCGCCCAGCGCTTACAGTCTATCCTCGGAACACGGAACTGAGAATTCTTGATACGCTGCTCACTTTTTGCTCTCCCTCCGGTCGGTCCACCTTTCGTAGATCCCTCTCTTCCTTAATTGAAACATTGCATTCCTCGCAGTAGGTTGCAAGCTCTCTTAGCACAAGGCATGTGGAAGCTAAAGGAGACGGAACATGGCTGTGGCTGGAAAACGAAAGCGCAGTGAGGGCTCTGTCCCGGCGCAGAATAGCTCATCTTCCTCGACCACTTCAAAAGGAAAGGAGCGTGCTTTACTTTCGCAAGATGAAGATGGCGGTGCAGATGCCGAGCATGGGCAGACCTGCGTGCGAGCGCCGCCACTCAATGCAGCAGCGCTGGACACTATGCTCAACACTACGTCCCTCGATGGACTGCGCTCCGCACTCTCCAGTCTGCGCTCGCAGACACGTCTCAAGTCCGAGGAACAGCCTGGCGGAGGAGGCGCGATCCCTTCACCGTCGGATCCCAGGATCAAGCTTGTCACATCCTATCTTGAGCGGAAGGGAGTTGACAGCATCAAGCAGATTCTTAAAGTGTGGGATCTAGCAATTGAAGTGAGAAGGCCTGTTCCCTAACTCCCTCCGCTCATGCACTGACTTATTTTACTCTGGCGCCCATTTGCAGAAGGATGTGCCATCTCTCGTTGCCCTCCCCATTTTCGCTCTATCAAACATCCTCCGCCTCCTTTCTGCTCATTATCCCACACATGCCTTAGGAGACGCCGTGATCACTCAACTTCTCCCCCAAAGCCCCACGAGTGAAGACAAATACAAGAGCAGCTCATCCCATCTTGATCAGCTCATCAGCTACCTTGTCGACAGTCGCGATGCGCAGCGGTATCACGGCCAAAATCACGGTGGAAACAGCCACAGAGCTAAAGGAAATGCGGCCAAGAACGAGATGCTCACCCTCGCGGCACTCACATTGCTCGGAAGCATGGCCGACTTCAGCAGCGGCAAATACGCAAATGCCATCTTCCAGGCTATGCCCTGGGGCAGCAAGGGGCTCACGAGACTTTCGACCGCAAGAAGACGGACGAACCAGAAAAGGGCACTAAAGCACGTGAAAACTGATATCAGTGGCAGCAAGCTCGCTGGCTCTCTCGCCGGGTACGATGAGCGCACCATCACCCCGAGTCGTCCAGACATCCGCTCTTTATATGTTCTGCTCCTGCTTTCTTTACTACGAGCATCACCCTCGCTCCGAAGCAGCAGTAGTGGGAATATTGTTTGCAAAGGCAATCTCCTATCCCTATCACCCAGCCCATTCTCGGCCATTTTCCGAGGGCTTCCTCAAGACCCCTCGTGGATCGTGTCGCAAGTTCTACAGTGCCTCCATGCGCATGTCCTTTCCGACGATAAGCTTCCACGCAAGGCCAAGCTCAGTCTGATGAGCAATATGTCCGTCTTGGAGCCGCTGTTGAGCATGTACGCGCGGGTTGGGGACAAAGTCGATGCTAGGACCGGTCTGCCGCTCACTCATGACCATGAAAATGAGGATGAAGAAGATCATGACGTCGGCATTACGGTTGCACAGATGGTTCACCACTTCTTGCTAGCCGTTTGCACACATCCTGGCTTCGGTATCACCTTCGGTGATCAAGGATGGTATCCCAGAGGAGGCGCAGCAGCAGCAAACGATCGCACGGGCGACACTTTCAGCGAAGGACAGCAGGCCCGAAATGACGAAGAGAATACATCTGCCGGAGTCTCCAAGGCGAAAGGGCTGCATAACCCCATCCTCTACTCTTTCTTGCGCTCCATTCCACCCACACGCACATCACTCCACTCTGAGCTTGTCCTACGCATCTGCCAAGCATGTCCTGAGCTTATTGGTGCGTGGCTCCCGAACAATTCAGCCCCGAGCAATGCCATCAACCAAGCAGATCAGAAGGGAGCCTCGACTAGCTGGCTGGCTTCTTCTGCGCTCGTCACTCGGATACTCTCGTTGCCATTGCCTTTCGGTGGTGAAGGCCGAAGCGGCTCAGCATCTTTAGCGGTCAAAGCGGTCCCTCCACCTCTTCCTAGTGTCTTGTCCAATCTGTTGCCGTCACCGCCAATATCGCGCTCCATCTTCATGCGAGCACTGAGTAGCAAGGATCGCCTGATGCAGCACGCGGCTCTACTGTTACTCGCTTCCGCACTTGATCGACTGCGCCGGTTCGGAGCGGTGTGCGAAGCCGCATTTGATGAGTTCGAAGAGGCGCAGGCTGTCGCCCCGCGATCGCTGTTGCTGGACAGTGTGGAACAAGAGGAGCACGGTGGCCTTGCATTCCAATCTATACAAGGGCGATGGACCGCTATCTGGGAGGCGACACGTGCAGAATCCGTCAAGCTACTACCAGATCCGAGTGCGCTTATGGCCTACCTGACTCAGTTGACCGTCACTGCGGATGCAATGACCGGGAATGAGGCAGATGGAGATGCACCCTCTATTTCACAAGGAAACACTCTTCTCCTTGAGGCGACTTTGAGATGCATTTGGCTACACTATGAAGCCCTTCACCGTTCCCACCCCATCAACTCCGCTGCCGGCGGCCTCGAAAGCCAAAACACTATGGACGTTAGCAAGCTGCTCGCCTTTGTCACCTCTCGTCCTGACGAGGGCACGTCTGATGCTGCAAATGTTTTGCAACCCGTTTGCCAGCTTCACACTCTTCGAAGCGTCACAATTGTCTGCAAGAAAGACGCAGCACAGCGTTCCAGCGGTTCCAATTTTGACATTTTTTCGCGTGGCAGTGGGCAGCACACCTCAGCCGAAGGTGGTGGAGCGCCACGCTCCAACTTTGAACGCATCGTGACGCTTTGGTTCAGGACGGATGATAACAACATTCGCTCGGCTTGCGAGGAGCTGCTCGATGCTGCTGTCGCAAGAGGCCCGCTCTTTGAGCTAAAGCCGGACGAATGGCAGTTTTGGTTGTGGGCTCTCCAACCGGACAATGTGCGCAGCTCAATCGATGAGCCAGGCCTGCGGGCTATTCTGGCTTTTATTGACGAGTGCGCTACACGATGCGGCAAGCTTATTCACCGCTATGTCGAGATATCGCGCTCTCTCAGACTCAAGGAGGACATCAATCGAGATCACGATCTTCCCGTCAGTCCATTGTTCGTGGCCGTCTTGGAGCAATTCAACATCCGAATGCAAAAACGACTTCTCTCGGCAGAGGTTCTGCCGCAACTTGCTGCATATATTGAGCGGTTGGTCGTCGCTCTCATTGGTGCCATGGTGGACCGCGACATCCTGCTCCGCATCTCAGGGCAATGTGCTGACGCCGCTGTCAAGGGCGAAGCTGAGGTTGGCATTTGTTGGTTATTCCAATCGACTTTGCCAAACACCATCACATTATTCGGGTCATTCAAGGCTGATTTAGTTGAAAACAAGCACATAACGTCGGCTGTTGCGACACGTACTGATATCGATGGTAAGTACAGCGATTTCAAAGCACCATCGAGTGATGATCGATCCTTCAGAACCGCTATTCTTGAGATGAGCTTTGCTCCCACAATGAAGTAAGGCGTTTCACGCCTTCAACCTCCTGACCTTTCTCACATTATCCGCAACTGTGAGCTTGTGACTGATGTTTCTCTTGCCACATTTACAGATGCCGCTTCTGCATCTGAGCTGCAAGCAGCCTTGCAAAGGGGTAGTCGCCCGCTCCAAGCTTGGCAGCTTGAAGCCCTGGCCAGAAGGGCCGCGGCTTTGAATACGCCTTACATCGCTTTCGAGCTCACTCCCGGTCAGGAATCACCGCCACAGTACTTTGCCTCCTTGCCATCGCTTGCGTTGCTGCATGGCTATGTGCCGGCTGGGTCAGTTGACGGGACCACTGCACATTTCATTGCAGCGAGCCTAAATAGTATGGATGGCTCTGTCGATGCTACGATAGCGTCGAGCCTCCTGAGTACTTTGCTCTGCGGAGAGCAATTCCATCTCGTCAAGAAATGCGTAAGCCACTTCGCCGGCCTGCCACACCTCTGGTGCGGACTTGCCGCGACCATGGTACAAAACTTGCATCCTTCACGAAAAGGAAGCTGGGCTTGCGCAACGGCCTTACTGGACGCACTTCTCAATTGCACAGACCTGATACTCGCCAAGGAAAGCAATGCCTACTTGCGCTTCAAAGCCTGCGCGACGCTGTTGCCATGCGCCGATGAATGCCAACTGGTCACAGTCACGGAATTAGCGTTGGCTAACCTCAAAGTCATACCCACACCAGGTGTCCTCGATGAGCTCCACGACGCGCTGTCATGCATCGTTTCTCTGTCGTGTCCTGCCGCATGCAGCAAGATCGTAAGCAATGCAGATTTACTTCTCTCGATCGAACCTCACAAGGCGCTGCCCATCTTGGCAAATGCAGCACGAAAGCCAAACGTCGATTTCATCCATCTCCCGTTGCCAAAGGCTTCCGAGCTGGGCGGCATATGGAAGTCGGACGCCGGAGATGCTCTCCTTTCTCACATTGTTTCAAAGGACACGGCTTCCGCCATTGCCATCAATACAGCATTTGCAAACGTAAAAGACCACACTGTGCTTCAAAACTACGCCGAGACAGTGCATGCTCTTGTCAGCCGACCCGGAGATCTCAATCTGCTCGAAAAGATCGGCCGGGTTTGCATCAAAAGCGTCTTTGTACCTCGCCTATGGGATACAGAGCATCAGAAACAGATCCTCGCAGAGCGGAGCTTGAAGATCTGGCTCGTCAAGCAGGCTATCACCCCATCTGAGTTGGCCGCCCAGATCACCTGCCAAGCACCACAGAACAGCCGTGATGTCTTCAAGGCCGGTGTGATCCGCATGGTCCTCCATCTGCTTGTGCTCTCTCCGGAAACAGTTGCGGTCACCAATCTGGTCACCTCGGTGATTGATCACAGCCTGCTATGGCTCGTACGGCGCTTTGCGGAGGACGCAAGCGACAGCGAGGCAACTCTGTCGGCGATCAGAGAATTCCCAGCATTACTGAGAGCCGCATCGATCGCCAAGCTTCAAGTCAAGCCACACCTTGCCGAGCCAGTGATCGAGGCTGGCATTCGTCACCGTCTGTCATCAACGCCTCAGATGGATATCGTTGATCTCCTTTGCGCAACATCGGCGATACCTGGGTCAACTGCCACGCGTCTTGCCACGCTGCTCATGTCGCAAAAAGACTTTGCTGCTGCAGCTCGCTCGCACCCCGCAGTTTCCTCTGTGCTGTGCTCGCTCGTCAGTTGCGGAGCTGCTGCCAACGGACTTGCCGAGCATCTGTTTTCCATCTATGATGGTACACTCAGCATATCTGATCGTCTCGTCTTCGATGCTCTGCAGACTCTCGCAAACGCAAGTGGGGCCGAGGTATGGTCTGAGTGGACCCAAGGGAATGCAAAGGTGCCGTTGTTCGTCAAGCTACTCTCCCTGGACCGCACCTGGATGTTTTCGACCTGCGCAACATTCCCTCGTAGCCGTCGCTTCGGTAGTGTTTCCGTCGGTCACGCTGCACTAGATCCTATTGCTGCCAAATCGACATACGACCCGCTTATGGTGCTATCCCTGTTTTCGGCGGTCCTCTGCACGCGCAAGCTTACTGGACTCGACCTGCTCTCACTGCTCCGGAACAATGTGCTCGGCGTTGTGATATGCAGCTTGTCTTCTCGCAGCTCCCACATCAGAGGGTTCGCGTTGACGATCCTTGGTCGCACGCATGCCATGCTCAAGACAGCAGCCTTTTCCGAGCAAGAGGAAATCGTCCTCGTATTTGATCTCCTGCGCGATCAGCTTCACTACGACCCTGCTGCACGTGAAGCGGTGCCTGCACTTCCCTTTTCGACGACGCTCTTCTTTGCACATGCTTTCCGCACCATCGCCGCACCGGCCAACTTTGCCTTCCCCTCGATCATGCGCTTCTTTTTGCAGCGTCCCGCCTACGATACGATGGATTTGCCGCTACTCTACAATTACCTCTCCTCTGCCTCGGACGAACATAGGCAGGAACGGGTCTGGATTCTGCGCTTCCTGTGCGATATCCTGCGCTCAGGAGGGCACGTTGAATGGCAACTTTGTCGCCGCCGGCATGTCCCTGAACTGCTCATGAGCATGTATCCAACGCTGCTCGGCGAAGCCGGCTCGCGGCATGCGCGCGAGCTCATCGAGGAGTGCATGGGCATCATCTGCTCTCAGTCTCGGCCTGCGCAAGATATGCTCAGGCGACATGGCATGCTCACTTGGATTCGTCTGCAGCAATCCGCGGAGGAGCGACCTAGAGAGCTGTGGATGCACCTGGCGGCGTTGCTACTGCGATGCGATGCGTCGCACGGCCAAACGTTCGCTGCTCATGCCGTCGCGCTTCTTCAAATCTTCCTGGATGGCTTTCAGCGCGGAGGCAAGGTTGAGCAGGGGCAAGAGTTTACATGCGCCTTGGTCACGCTGCTTCGGCGTCTTTGCAAGCATGATATTTTGGGTGCTGCGCTTGGCGTACCAGCCAGCATCGTGCTTGATGTGCTACAGGCGCTGGCAAAAAGCAAGTCAATGAATCGAATAGTCGCAGCAGACGTCCTGGAAGCGACGCGGCTTGCGTCAACATTATGGTTTCAGTCACGAGAAAGCTTCGTGCAATTCGGAGCGAAGTTCGCAGAGGTGCACGCTTTATGAAGAGTAGCCCGCGGGGAGGCATTTGCCGGCACATTTGGGCAAGCATGCCATGTACGCACCTCCATAAATACATGCATTGGTGCGGGACGGATGCCACTCATTTGCGAGAAACAGAATTGCTCCGAGCCCTGCGCGAAGACACCCAAGCCCTGCAAATCGACGTAACTTTACAGCTTGCTTGAAGTGCTTCTAGCAGGCAAAGCCCTTGCCTTATCGCGCAGCTGCCTTCTTAGGATCTTTCCTGACGCAGTCTTGGGAATCTGGTCAATGCTGTGTAATTCAAAACACGAGCTCGGTCGCGTCAGTTCCCTTTTCGTCGCGTCACAATACCCCTACAGGAACAAGTGGCATAGAACTCACAATTGCACATCGCATAGATGCTTGTACTTGATCTTATGATCCTTGACAAACTTCATAATGCTCTGCCTGATCTTCTCCTCAGCTGCCTTGCCCTCCTTCTGTACCCGGCCTTTGGCATTGATGCTGAGTGTGATGAATGCCAGGGGCAGCTCACCAGCGCTCTCGTCGGGCACGCCGATGACGCCAGAATCATTAACGTCCGCGTGGTCGAGCAGGAATCCTTCGAGCTCGGCAGGCGCAACCTGGAATCCGCGCACCTTGATGAGCTCCTTCAAGCGGTCGACGATGAACATGTCGCCGTGCTTGTTAAAAACGACCTCATCGCCCGTCTTCATGAAGCCGTCCGGGAGGAACATCTCCTCGGTTGCTTTACGATTGTTGAGGTAACCCAGGGTGATGCTCGGCGCGCGCACCCACAGCTCACCCTGCTCGTCAACACCACACTCCTTGCCTTCGGGTGTGACGACTTTCGCTTCGACGTCGGATACGAGCCGCCCCGCCGATCCGAGGACCGCGGGATGGCCCGGCGGACCCTGAGTGAGCAGGGTGGATGTCTCGGACATGCCATAGCCTTGGCTCCAGTCGACTCCGGGAATGATGTGCATGAGCTGCTTGGACAGATCGTCGCTGAGCGGCGCGGCGCCGATCATGATGTAGTTGGCTAGCCGTTGCATGTCCGCATGGTATTTTGGCACGCTTGGGTCCTTGCAGAGTAGCACGACCTGCAAGCAAGAGCCCCAATGGTGAGGGGAAGAGTTGTCAGCATGTTGAATGGGGATCTAGACGCATGCAGCTGCTCACTTGCGGTGGTACTAAGAACCAAATGGAGATGTTGTGCTTGACGATGCTGTTGAGCATTGTGTCGATCCCCTTGAAGCGTGGGATGACGACGTTGGTAACGCCAGCGTAGAACATGAAATGGATGCCCATTACCAAGCCATAAATATGGAAAGCGGGGAGAATGCCGAGCGAGCGATCGGTGCCAGCCCGGAAGCGTCCCTTTTGCGTCCGTACTTCATTTGTGCACTCGTTGTAGGCAAAGGCTTGAAGGACGTTGGAAACGGGGGCGTAGTGTTGAATGGCAACTCCCTTGGGCAGGCCGGTGGTACCAGATGAGAAGGAGATGAAGGCAAGCTTCCTCTGACCTTCGCCAGAGTTGAGACGGAAGCGGGTCTCCTTCAAGAACGCCTCTCCCCGTGCTTTGCGTAGATTTGTACCATGCTCGACCAGACCCTCAACCGTCTTGATGCCCTGTGAGTTGGCCATCGGTGCCTTGTCTCCATTCTTGGCACGCGCCTTGCGTATGCTCTCCACAGATTCAATGACGATGACCTTGTCTCGGTGGATTCCCGCTTTTGCTGCCGCGGCGAGGCCGGCGTCGAGCTGGTTTTCGTTGACAAAGAGGACTGTGGCCTTGCTCGCTTCGAGCTGGTAGTTCAGCTCACCCGGCTGAAACGCCGGGTTCGCGGCGCTGACGATGCCACCGAGGCGGTGCGTGGCCCAGATGACGACAGGGTAGTCGATATTATTGGCGCTGAAGATGCCAATGACACTGTCCTTGCGCATGCCTAGGTCGTCGTACAGTGCGAGGGAGAGGTTGTCGACGCGCATGCGGATCTGCTCGAAGGTCAGCGAGTGCGATGTCGAGTCGTCAATGAGCATGGGGATTCCTGTGCCGCGCACGTCGGGCCGCTTGGCGGGAAAGTCCTCGAAGATGAGTTCGTAAATGTCCTCGTCATCGCGGAAAGGCCCGCCCGATGGTGCAGGGGATGTGAAGATCATGGCGACTTGGGGGGACTTAAGGGTACAATCGCTTCGTCGACACTGCAAGTGCAACGATAGGTCTCAGTGGGCTTGATCTTGCAAGGTCATTCAGGAGCAGGCTCTCTGGATGGCAGCTGCGAGGATGGACGAAGGAAAGCAGAGGACGAAAATGGAATTCGGAGAGAAAAAGATGATATCTCGATCTACTAAATGGAGATGGCTGGATGGGAGATGTCCGCCGTATCCGAGGGTGAGGGCGAGCGCTTTGTATCTCTTTTCTTATCATAAAGGCCGCCAATAAGCGCGTTCCATTCCGCCCCCGTCCCTCCCCCCCTCCCCAAATCCTTCCGCACCCGCCGCCATAACCGCCCCGCAAAAGCCGCTCTATAAATGAAAGTCGTAGATGTATATTAAAAGAGTTGACAGTTTCGCTCTGTATGGCGGCCACTGCTGGCGGTCTATCTCATCTGGGCAAGGCGCGTCGACGCGGGCCGGTTGAAAATGTTGGATGTCGCCAATGCGGCCGTCGTTGGACGGATATGGTGCACGGACCAGAGAGCGGCGAGGGAGGGTACATCGCAGGTATCTACCCAGACGGAGAACTTCCAAGTCTAACTTGATGCTAGCTGCGTCAAGAAGTTTTAGCACACGTCCGACCGTCGTGTAGAGAGCCTTACGCGAAGTCGTGCTCTTAATGACCACGTTATCTGCATAGGCACAGGCAACGCCACTGATAGTCTGTCAGAGGACTTCCAAATAAGTGGACGCGATCGCTGGAGATTGTGAGGCGCAATGCGATAGCTGGGTAAGCTCCCGGCGGTTGTGGAGACGGCTTTGGATGGTGAATAATTGAGCAGCCGAAGTATGTGGCGTTCTCCTCTCGCCTCGCTCTTTCGCATGGATCTCAGCATTCTACCCCATGTACAACCCGCACACGTAGCTAGTCTCTTCAGTCTTGAATCAATGCATCCCATACTCTCTGGCGTTCGCTGGGTGCATCGTCCTCTGTGAGAGTTGGTTCCTGTTGGGCTATAACGGACGCAACAGCAATCTCACCCGAGTCCCAATGATCCTCACCCGCCAGAAAATCTCCGACGTAAGTTACGGTCTGGCGACCGTATACTGGTTCATCCATTATCTACAGCATCAGGTGGAGTGCCGGGTCATAAATGTCGCAGAACTCAGAAGGTCTCTCTCATCTGCATACCTTTCCTTGATATCCTTTGTACATGCGATGGAGCATGACAGGGGACGGGACCACTAACATGCAAGAAGAGCTGCAGGACCAAGGTGACACACTCTTAGTCTCCGTCGCTGCTCGGAGCCTCTTGGCGCTCGCACGACAACTCGCTGTTCCATGTCTCTTTGCTGGCGACACCTGGCGTTTCGAGCAGCAAACCCTTCTCGCCGGCGAGCATTGGCAACAACGGACATTGCCTTCCTTGCTTTCGAAGGTCAACGCTGAGCTTCGAGCCCTCGAAGATCATTGGCGAGACGCTCGGTTCCAGCAGCAGCAGCAGCAACAGCAGGTAGCGCAAGACGCAAGCAGCATCACAGATGCACTGCGCCTCATCATCAAGGCCTCTGCCAAGTACGTGCCTCCACAACGAATTGCACTACCATCGCATGGGATAAACCCAAACGGAAAAGGAAATGCCAGCGTGAATGATGATACTGGGGACAATGAAGAAGGCGTAAAGGATAGCCATGATTGGCTAGCTCCGGATCTGCTGGACAGTTTCATTGGCAACCGACAAAACCGAACCCTGGCACAAGGTGAGGGCTATATCGAGTGACTAGCACGCAACAGAATGCGAGGTTGACGGCTACCCTCTACAGTGATATGCGATCGCGCAAGTATCCTTTTGTCGTCTTTACCTGTTCCCACGAACACATCCGAGTCCAGCGGCAGCGCTGCTTATGCACGCAGCCTCCTTTCGACTTATATCAAGCACCTCTACTCTGCATCTCCATCTTCCTCCTCCGTTGACCGTGATACAGGACGCGCAAAAGCTCCCCGCGAGCATCTAAGTCACTCTGGTGCAGCAAACTGGGATGTTCTGGGGACTGCAGGCGGTTGGGACAATGTTGCCTGGAAAGGCGGGATGTTGTCCAGTGCCGCAGAACTCGTGCTCACCGCTGACATCGAAGTGACTGACGGAGACGGGAGTGCTGATGAAAAGGCTTTTACGCTCCTGCGTCATCGGCACGACGGAATTGGTGCACCGAATGTCTTCGCATGGGCCGTGCGTACTGTCGCTGCACCGCTTCCCACACCCGCACTAGACCCGCACCAGCAGGGCTGCGAGAAGGAGAGAGAGTTCTGGGAAGCCGCGTGGCCACTCATCATCCCTCCGCTTCTCACGATGCTGGACGACTCGTCGCTGCATTCCCGCATCATGGCGACCAGGATTTTTTACTATGGCTTACTTGAGCTGCCACTCCGAAAGCTGCAATTGGTAGAACCTGCGAGTGTTGGATCATCAGCATCAGAGGTACCCATAGCGCCTCCCATCCTGCTCCTCATCCGCACAGGCCTACATCCGCTCGTCGCTTCCTCCCTCTCCGCAAGCCTGACGTACTTCTCCGACCCGCTGTCCTACCTTGCGCTGCCAGACACCCTGTACGCAGCGCGCGCCTTGGCGCTTCTTGTCACGCAGCCGGAAGCGGTGCAGCTGAAAGTCCAAAGCGGGCGCGCTGGCTTTGCGGCTCGGACCGGCAAGGAGGCAAGTAAAGATAGCAGAGTCCAGCGCTTTGAGGAGATTTGCAAGCTCCTCAGTGAAGGCGTGCTCAGACCGTGGACATACATTTCGCTTCCGCGGAAACAAGCAGGCACGCACACGTCGAGCGCAACTAGAGCGGTCGCAGAGGAAGAAGGGAGCCCCCACGAGCAGCAGGGGTTCGACGCAAAACCTGTGTCTTCTTCCAATCTGTTGATGTTGGCGCTCTTGCGCTCTGCCACGCAGCTCTTCATGGATGCAGGACCGGCAGGCTGTGCGCGGTACCTCGACGTCAGCATTGAATTTCTGTGTGCTCTTCTGCTTGAGCGGGAGCCCGTCGCTCGTCACAAAAATGATAGGGAACACAGTGGAAAGAGGCAGAGCGACGCAGAAAGTAGCACGTCGGTTGCAGAGGTGCTCCTAGCATACGAGACGGTCCGTGTCATACTTGCTATCGTCGAGACATGCACTGCGCACCTCTTCCCTGCGCCGGATGACACGGCAAGCCGCCCTGCTCTGGAGGAAGAGAGAGAGGATAAGGAAATCGGACAAGACACAGAGCCAATTGCGCCAATACCGTTGCTACCGCCCAACCTCGAGGATCGAGCAAGCGATGTTGTATTTGCAGCCTCCATGGCCTGGGTCAAGTTTGGGCTATTTGACGAGCAGCAAGACGAAAAGAAGGAAGAACTTGCTTCCAGCTGCCTCATGAACGCAGAGATACGGCACTCCGCAGCGCTCGTCATCCTCACACACGCTCTCAAACGACTTGTCAACCAACTCTTACGTGCGATGCCTACTTTAGAGACCAAGGTACGTTGGTAGCTTGACATCTAGGCTTTCTGTTACTGACGCGCTCGGAATCCGATGCGATTACAGTTCGCCAAGGGTATTGTAACGCTTGACGATCGGATGGCTGGCTTATTTGCACACCAATGAGAGGGAGGAGCCCGACAGAAGTAGAATTTTTTGCAAGTCCACGACCACCAAGAATCAATCTATTCTCTGTAGCATACCTGTCGATGGCAGCAGTCAGGTTGAGTATAAGGGCAGTATTTAAGTTGAGGAAAATGCGCAACCTCTGAAATGGGGGAAGCAGATCCGCCCTGAAATCGGTCCAAGTTGGATAAATTGCACTACAAACTCCCTGGATGTTTTGCCTTGCGCCTTACCTAATGCCCTGAAATTTCAAACGTGAACATTCACCGAAAGTGATCGACATGGATTGATTGCTTATGTCGAGTTTCGATAGAACAATAGCGACCTGCATTTGTTTTTCTCTATCAACAATCCTCGTTGCAGCATCTACTCGGACCTGGGAGCAGCACATTGTAAGGGGCGCCCTCTAACACTCGTGCTTGAACCTCTGCTGAACTGGATGGCTCACTTTATTCGCAGTAACAAGCCCACGAGCTGAATCGGCGTTGTTCCCAAGAGGCTAGCGGCCAAATTACTTCGCGCAACGAGTGTGGACGCAAACATGAGCCGGTAGTCGTAAGAGGCAAGGCCAGGCTGGACCATCTTCAACTGACCGCCTCTACGATCGGCATATTCATCTGTCGCGAAAATGCGGCTTGGTGTCTGCTGGCAATGCCTCGAGCTGCGCCCAACATGGATGAGGCAATCTATTCCACCCCTCAAGCAATTGCATGGATTTGCGTCTTCACCAAATGCGGCGTTCGCGACACGGGTAAGGCGTCCACAAGCGCCTGAGACGAGGACAAGCAGGCATGCGCAAATTCGGCGAGGGTTCGCGACGTCATCCAGATCTAACCAGCATGAGCAGCGATCCGAAGAGGCGACTGAAGGTTTGCTATCATCGAATGGAGAAGCATCCGTCTCCATCCACTCGCTAGACGAGCCTCCAATGACTATTCCCCATCCTCATGACATACCCAGCATCCCGCTCATCGTACTTGTCGCAACACTGAGCAAACTCTTCTGTCGTCTTGGCTGCTCCGACTTTCGAGTAGACGGACTTGAGAATCTTCTGAAGGTCGTCAATGATGAACAGAGGCAGAAGGAGGGAAGAGGCGTTGTCACTTACTGCAACCACATTTCTGTGTCAGTAGTTTACCCTCACTACCTTCTTGCTGTCCACACTTACCGATATCCCGAACTCTCTTGATAGCCTCGATGAGCCCTTACTTTGGGCTTCTCTTCCACTCGCGCAATTCTTCTCATCAAAGACGACACGGTGGACGCTCGGAGCGCAAGACATCATGTTCGACAACCCCTTATCCGCCTGGATTTTTGGAAAGGGCCAAGTTATTGCAACAAATCGTGGAGGGGGCATCTTTCAGACCGCCGTCGACCGAAGCATCGACAAGCTGAAAGCCGGAAGCTGGGTGCATGTCTTCCCTGAAGGCTACGTCAACACGAGCAGAAAAATGACTCTACGAAGGTTCAAGTGGGGCGTCAGCCGGATGATCCTAGAAGCGGCAGGACTCGAAGGAGGTTCTGCACGTGCTTTGCCGAAGGAAGCTGATACACACAGTCTTCAAGTCGGGGAGACCAAAGCGCCGGTCATTATTCCGATTTGGATTTCGGGATTCGATGCTATCATGCCAGAGCCGCGCGGTTGGCCGCGAGGGTTACCGCGGCTGGGAGCCAACATTTCAGTTTATATCGGCGTACCCATCGACCCTGCCGAATACCAGCCTTACTTAGACGCGTACGCGCAGGAGCAGCGACGCCTCATCGGCGAGGGATCAGGATCCCAGTCTGAGCGAGAGATAGAACTGCCGCTGGTCCCACCTTCACCACCGCATGATATCTTCCCGCCCGCGACGCCCCTCCGACCGCCACCGGACGGATGGCCCGAGGCACCTGCGGGCTCACGCGGTGCGCTTTCCGCGGCAAGCGACACGGACCGTAAGCGAGAGATCCGGAGCGCGCTTGCTGGTTTTTTGAGGATGAAACTCGCTGAGCTTGGCATTGAAGCGCGTCGAGTGAGGGGAGAGGAAGGGCAGGGGGAACTTGTGCATACATTGACCCTTATTAAGAAGGAGGAGGGAGTAGAGGGCAAGGCGATGTGATACTTCCCTTCGTTGCATCATTCGCACGGTCTCCGGTGCTATTGCATCTAACATAGCACATTCTGCAAAAACACATAGAGGTACGCATGCTGCACAATTGTAAACATTTGAGTTCCGATAATTTTCAGTACAACTATAAAAAGTGCTGGGATTCGCTCGCGAATCGAAGAAAGACGGTCACGATTAATCCAGCTTCTGCTTCTTTTGACCGCTCAGGAGTTTGTTGAAGCCCGCTGTAACCGGGGTTTTCATAGCTAATCCTCCCATGAAAAGCAGGTACTCTGATTTCTCGTGACAAGGATTCTTCCCCGTGCTTTTCGGCGAGCGAGAAGTTGAACAAGTCGCTTGGGCAGGACCAGTCGTTGTCGCAGACCTTCTGGGTGCTGATGTTGCCGGTACTGCAGAAGCGAGAGCTGGTACGTTGGATATTGCTACGGTAGCTGGAGTGGGCGCTTGTTCGGGCGGCAGCATGCCAGCAGCCGCCGTGTCAGCCTTTGTTACCTGCTCGTCATCTCCACCAGCCGCAGCCGCTGCTTCTTCAGACAAGAGGGCATTCTCAGCTTGACGCTTTAACGCTCGCCGCCGTTGCTCGCGAACGATGCTGCGCACTTCCCTGTCGATGCGTGTGTCGAATTGTCCTCCGGGATGCAGCCACGCCCTTCCTTCTGCCATGCGATGTCCAGCTTTCGCTGCCTCGGACTCGAGCTTTTCGCTGCCTCTTTGCCCTTCCTTTTGTGTAGTAGGTTCTGCACCTTCGCCCTTAAGAGGTGATGCTTCGATGGGCGCCGAGACTGCTGCTGAAGCCGGGGTCGATTTCACCGCCATGGTTATGTCATTTTCTCGCATCCCTTGGGATGCTACACGGGTCTCAACAGTTGCTGGTTTCTTCACCTTCAACAGCTCGCTGTTGAGGGATGGCGTCTGCATTGGTTGCTGTACCGGTGTCTGCCGATGCATCTGAATTCGTGCCTCCGCCACCCGTCGTCGTTCGGGAGTCTGGAGTGGGCCTAGTTGCTGCTTTGCCCACTTGGGAATCTGGTCCTCCTCATAGAGCGGCCACTCTTTCTTGCCGACGAGCTCCTCAAACAAGCTCTCGAAGAGCTCGTCGAAAATTTTGCTTTTCAGGAAGTCGTCCATCACGCATCTCTGTCCGCGACTGATAGAGCGCTTCTTCTCCTCTTCTCCTAGCGAATCGAGATGCCGGACGAAGCCTTGCTCGACACGCGCCCAGAAAGACGCCTTGAGCTCGACATCCACGTTGAAGCTACAGAGGAAGGCATTGCGCATCAAATCAAAGTTGCCATCATTGGCATACCTGTCGGGCGTGGCACGGTCAGCAAAAAAACTCCGCAGCTTGATTGAACGTAATGACTCACTCATCCCAAATGGTCTCTGGCGTAATACCATCCTCATGCTCTTCGTTCGCATGTAGGCGATACTCTGCATCTTCTGCCTCCCACCTACGCCGCGCCTCCTCGCCCTCGCCCTCGATCTCCTGCTTCTGCTCTCCCCTCAGCTGCCGTCGTGCGTCTTGCTGCTTCTGCTGTTGTTGATGCTCTTGAAGTTTCGATGAAGATGCGACTAGCGCGCTTGCCGGTTCGCCAGGCTTTTGATTCCCCTTGGCGTCGCCTTGGTCGCCTGATTCGTCCTCTTCATCATCTTTGTCCGAGCTGCTGATTTCTTCTTCGCTCGACTCTTCTGCCAACTTGTGCACCTTGGCTTTCTTGCAGCTCGCGCTCGTCGCCCTCTTCGCTGCGGTCGAAGATGCAGTCGGCGCCGTGCTCGTGGAGCGCGAGCGCTTCCTTGAGCGGATTCCTCCTTCCTCAGAAGGATGTGCTCCACCGCCTCTTCCTCTGGCCTTCCCGAAGCCACTGCCAACATCAGTGGTAGGACTGAGAAGCTTATCTCGGTCATGTTCCAAGCAGGGGTCAATATACTGCTGCTGGGTCGCTTTGGTCGCTTTGATCGCCACGCCGCGAAGCATGCAACCCGTGGAGGGTGAGAGAGACTCTGCGTCAATGGTAACGCCAGTCTCATCAGCACCGCCAGCGTCATCACCTTCACCAGCCCCTTGCGAAGAAAATGGAATTGCATGAGCAGGTGCAGTAACGGTTGCACCTGCATTCCCACCTGCGCCAATGGCCGAGTGAACAACCGAAGGCGTAGCAGCCGGTGTCTCGCTTTCATTTCGCTGCACAGCATCATCAGCAGCATCAGCAATATCCAAGTGCTTGTTTACGGCCACGTTACGTGGTTGTGACTGAGCTCGCAACTTGGTACCGGCTCTAGATTGCGCGCCATTTGCAGCGGAAGAGTTCCCAAGCCCCCATGGGTTGGTATACTGCTTCGCGGTCGTCTGTGCTGCTTTGATCGCCGCGTCGCGACGCGCACGGCCCGCGGCTGGGGGTGAAGATGTGGATGACGGCTGATGCGGACATGCGGGAGCGTCTGGACCTGCTTCTGCTTCTGCCTCTCCACCTTTCGGGTTGGCAATTCCATTCGCACCTGCCGTTTTTGTTGCTGCCTCAATTGAGTCTTTCTCCTGCTTGCCTGTAGCGTGAGAAGATTGAATTGCTACGCGCTGCGCAGTGGACGGCGTAGCCCGAGATGGCAAGTTGTCATTATCTTCGCCTGCCGCATCTGCGTATGTATCTGCGAATTCATTGAAATGCGCATCATGACTCGTATCTGCGCCGTGATCCGCTTCTGTATCAGCAACATCGAAGGGCGCGAATCCCTCTCCTGCCAACATCAGTGCTGCTTGAGACTGCCCAACTTGCGCTGCTGAGTTTGCTTGCGCAGCGTTGCTATCCTTCGGTACCACCGGTGCAATATGCCCTTCGCTTTCAATTCCGCTGCGCATGGTTGGAGTGAGCACTAGGTCGTCTTGTGCAGGAGCGTTCGAGGTGTGGGCTCCATTTGAAGCTATGCCAGCAGGCAGAGTGGGAGCAGGCATTGACTCACACTCATCGCTCGGGGAACCGGCTCGATGACCCGATTTGCCCCGCATGCGACTTTCCTTCACGTGCTCCACCTTCTCTGCTTGGTGTTCGCTGTGTCCCTCTGTGCCCATCATTCTCCTGCCATGGCTGACGGGTGACTGACTAGATGGACCCACATTATGCCCATGCTGCGTTCTTGATCTCTTCTGCAGCGATACGAGCGCACCGCTCGCTCCTTCTACTTTGGGTGATGCCGCAGCCTCCATGTCGGCGGGCTTCTCCTCCGCCTGGGACGTGTGCCCATCGTGGTTACCCTCCTCGCTCTCGGCAACGGCTGTGCCGAGAAGCTGATTATGTGAATGTGCACGCGTCTTGTGCGAGTCGTATGTCCTCTGCGGATACGGCTGAGGGATGTCTTTCCTACTTCGGCGAGTCAGCTGCGCGTGCTTTGGCTCCTCTCCTTCTTGGGCTCCCTCATCCCGATCTGCGCTTGAGTGCCTCTGCGGCTCCAGCGTCGCTGAAGTTGATGCGCCCGTATTGTGCGACTGGGAGTGCCGCGACAGACGCCGTGTGCCCACCATCGCTGCACACCCGAAGGTAGTTTACTCGAGACTTGCACCTGAGGCGACCAGCGCGTAGCGCTCAGAGTAACATTGGAACAAAGGGTATCGCGCCACGTGGGCATCAACCTGTGCTCTGCGATACGGTGTGCAGCTGACATAGGTGAACCTTGAACGCTAATCACAGAGCCAGGAGGTATTCACCGTAAGGTTAGTACAAGTTACAGGGACCACCATGTTGGAGCGAATCGTGACACTGCGCGCTCACTCTCACGTCGCACACGTCAAGGTGGTTGCTCTCGATCGGCCAGCCAGCCATCCTCACTTTCAGTCACCAGTCGCGTGCTAATTATTCGGTGCAACTCCTGGTAATTCGGTGCAATTACCACGAAAGTGTTTCAGTCAGAAAAAAATGTTATCAGCAACCGCAAGCTATCGCACCGCCGAAGAGTGCTGTGGTGTTTGCTTGTGGTATGCGGCCATACTGAATGGGCGAAGGAACATGCGATAACAACAAAAACATGTGGGCTCGGACTATCAGTCTAGCTTCTGCTCGGGAGGGCGATGTACACTGCGAATAACAACCAGGTGAAGAACTGAGACGCTCCGGGTCTTGATGTAAACATTCCTGCGCGCTTCCTTTCGAAAGCATTCTTTGTCGGCCCTTGTCCCTTTATATATTTCGATCAGCGCCTCCCGTCAGCCTGCATAGACCCAGAATCTGCTTCCCTGCACTTCTGACTCGTCAGCATGGACCCCCGACTGCCACAGCACCTTTATTCGTCGTCTAGCTCCGTCGAAGACCCTTCACCATCCTGCCCTCCATCTCCATCATCACGGTCCGCCCCCACGCTGGCCTCGCGCGCTGACATTCTGAAATGCTACGAAGAAGCCGTGCAAGAGCCACTACTCGAATGCAGCAACCTCTCATCTTTTTATTCAGAAGCCCAGCTGTCCACATCACTCGTACCGGAAGCAAGACTGCTACGCGAGGACTTTTGCAGCACTGCCATCGTAGCGCGGACATGGCTCAGCCTCGATGAACGCAATCGCAGCGTCGGCGTTGATATCGATCTCAATGCACTCAAGGACACGCGGGAAAGAGTCTGGGCAGAAGGAGTGCAGGTCGGGAGAAAGGTTGGCGCGCGAATCGTCCAGTCGCCGGCGTTTGCCAATGGCATCACCTCGGTGGAAGGAGTTGACGGCGTAGACGCTCTGGGGATGGAGTTGGAGCAGGATGACGGCGCTCTGTTCCAACGAGCCCCGAGCAGTGATCAAACTGCCCTAGGAGCGACGGAGAAATCATCAGACGTCCAAGCTGGCTCCGATATCAGCTTGAAAAGCTCGACATGGGCCACTGGTGCAGCTTCTGATCGCTTTGAACGACGTTTCCAGGCTCGTCTGGCAAAGCAGGAAAAGCAAGCAAAGCTCAAGGCAAAAAAAAGAGCGACCGCTTCGGTGGCGGCAGCGGCCAATGGTCATGCTGCCGCACCGGGTGTCGAGTGCGACGGAGGGCAGCGTATTGAAAATACGTCTTTCGCTAGTGACGCAGATGAACAAAACGAGCAAGGCAGAATGCTACTCGTGCACAGTGACGTACTCGATCTTCCATTCTCCTATATTCCATCAACATCTTCTACACCACCTTCAACAACATCGGCATCGGCTCAATCATCTCCAACTGGTGCCACGACAATCCCAGCGCCAGACCTTATCGCAGCTCTCAACTATGCGCTGTGCTATTTCCACACGCGAGCCGCCTTGCTCGCGTACTTGCGCGTTTGCCTGCACACGCTTAAAGCGCGCAGCGGCGTCTTGCTCTGCGACCTGTTCGCTGGTCCGCCGACAGGCGAGACGTACGAGCATTTCCTGACGGAGCAGGCAGATTCCGAGGGAAGAACAAGGAGGAGAAACCTGTCGCAACAAGATCTGTGGGAGTTATTTGCCCACGAAGATGGATTCATCAGAGAGGGCGATCGCGCGAGGGATTCTGAGGGGGGCGGCGATCAGGGTCGACTGCAGCCACTCTGGGCGGATGAGAAGAAGGCGACTTCTTGTATTCGCGAATCTTCCATCGAGGCGAACGGCCATGCTGCTCCTTTCCCCCCATCGTCTTCAAATTACACCATCACCGCCGACGACACTGCAATAGCAAGGGCAACCATCCGTCTTGTCCCAGCCCCGTCCACTTATGCGGCAGCAGCGCGCAGCAATGCATCCTGCGCTGAATGGCCGAAAGGTCATTTGAAGCTTGTACGGACCGGTGCAGCCAGCGGGGGTTTCGAGTACTGGCGCGAAGACGGGCCGATCGACTATGCCAGTAATCGGTTTAGGATGAGCCTTAGCTTCCGCTTTAAGGATCGGTCATGGATTCGTGATTGGTTCAGCTATGATTTCCGAATCTGGAGTTTGAAAGAGGTGCGTTCCATCCGGGGTGAGGTAAGAAGCAGAAAGTAAAGGCTACTGAAACTGCTACTGCCTCCAACCATTTTTCATCTGGCTGCCGTAAAGATCACCGAGGCGATGGAGGAGGTAGGCTTCGTGCGCGTGCGTGCGTATATCACGCCTCGCAACGCAGACGCCTCATTAGACGAAGACGGTCACGAAGGTGACGGTGATGACAATGCTAGCGATACACGGGATCGGAGCGATGATGACGCAGGTGGTCTGGACGACATGGCCTCCTTACTTCGACGCACAGAGCTGGAGGAAGCTGCAAGAACCACATACCGTCAAGTCAAGCCGGGCGATAAGATTTTTGCAACGCGTAGTATCAGCAGTGAGTCCAACTGTTACTGTGCAAGGGTCCAACCAAAAACTAACGGGTTGATTGATGGTCTCGACTTGGCATAGCTTACATTGTCGCGTGCGTACCGTGATAGACCAGAACGGACGGGCGTTCGCCTTCAGCGGTCCATGCACAGTATTGCAGTCTATTGCAATAGAAAACATGTATCTATTACCACATGATAACACGCATAATATCTTTCCATGTTGGTTCGGTTGATGCTCCTCAGCTGACAGCAGCTGGTGCCAGATTCGAGAGGGGAGGCTGCAGAAAGGTTGACACGCCCTGACGTCCACTCAGCTCCGGCAGCGAGACCTCACACACTATATAATCCTGGGCAAACACCGTTATCATTCAGGACTGAGATTGAGTTCGTACCCACAATATGCAGCGCGAAGGCGGCGATGACGAGGATTGGCTGACAAAACCAGACCCAGGGCTATCTTCTCCCGATCGCAGGGGCCCAGGTGCATCACTTTGGGAAAAGCGTAACTCTGAAACACTTGCACTACGTTGGACGCGCTAAGACTCGATTTGCCAGTAAACGTCGAGAGGCCACACCGACATCAGAGTGGATTGAATTTCCGGGGCGGAACGGGGGTAGTGCTTGGGGGCCAAGACTGCTGTTGTGCAGCAACGTCCCGCATTCAGAGCTGATCTGCGCGCGAGGGCTGAATAATACCTGCGGCTACCCATCCACATCCACCTGCGACGCAGTCCCATTCCGCAGTCGCACTTGCGCTCCCATTCTCAGATCCCGCCACAGGTGCGAGTCCCAGCATCCTCGGTTGGCATTTCTGACTATTTACGATTCTTCAGCGCCTCCTTGGAGCTTCTGATAGCGTCACAGCTGGGATATAGCAGGCCATACACAAGGTAAGCATTGATGGAAGACCGAGCGGGTGGGTGCCGCTGCAGAATTCGGTATGGGGACGACAGAGAAGCTGGATTCGTTGGGTGAACGAGGGCTTGACACTAATTGAGGAGCTTGGACAGCTCGAGTAGGGGGCCAGCGGACTGGACTTGCAGGATTGTGTTCATCAAGCGGGTGACCCCTCACGCAAGGCCATATGTTCATTTGGGTGTGACAGCGGCGATGCAATTCGTTCGTCGGTCGCTTTTCCAGGGGCATAAGAACAAGCACAATGCCTGTTCTATGGTATCCATTAGGCGCACTCGATGTTGCCTTCAAAAGCGGGATTGCACCATATGTGGTGGAACTGGTTTGAAAAGATTGGACACCCTTGCGACCGACAGATGGCGGTACATGTTACAGACGTAGCATTTGGGTCGCGCTCCAAGCAGCTAGATGCATCGGAAGGATCTCTGCATTAGAGTTCCTACCGGACACCATCTACTCCCTCAGGGCAGGGAGTAGGATTGCTGGGCAACCAGTCAGTTCAGACTACATTTAAGAAGGCCGATGGATTAAGTGGGGTGGAGCGCACCACCCTCAGGCGAGTTCAGAGAAAGGCTCCAGTCGTCTCCCGCCGTCAGGTACGCTCTGCTTGCTAGATAGGCCACTGATCAGCTTTTCTGTTTCTGTACTCAGCTCACAATAAGTCAAGATGTCTAAGGGTGCTCAAGGAACCAAGTTCCGCATGACGCTGGCTCTGCCCGTCGGTGCGGTCATGAACTGCGCTGACAACTCGGGCGCCAAGAACCTCTTCGTCATTGCTGTCAGCGGCATTGGTGCTAGGCTCAACAGGCTACCAGCCGCCGCTGCTGGTGACATGGTTGTCGCATCGGTTAAGAAGGGAAAGCCGGAGCTCAGGAAGAAGGGTGAGTGCTTGCGCGGCAGTTTCCCCAATGCGACATGAGTGGACTGACGCTTTAAAATTTACTCATAGTTATGCCCGCGATTGTCATTCGTCAGCGCAAGCCGTGGAGGAGACGCGATGGTATTTTCCTTTACTTCGAGGACAACGCTGGCGTCATTGTCAACCCCAAGGGAGAGATGTTAGTGCCTCGTTGTCATGCATGAGGAAGCCGGGTTCTGACTTCTTTGCTTTTGTTGCACTTCGTCAATGCAGGAAGGGATCCGCTATCACCGGGCCTGTCGCAAAAGAATGCGTAAGTTATGTGCCTCGCGTCTATACATCCCGTCTTGCCCTCTGACATATCGATTGTGATTTATTCCATATAGGCGGACTTGTGGCCACGTATCGCATCCAATGCCGGTACCGTCGTCTAAGTACCCGAATCCCAAAAGGCTGCGATGTTTCGGTCTCATCTGCCCCGCCCGAAGCAGGCGCAGGCTGCGACTCCGCAAGCTTTCCCCTTCCTCCCCCACCACAGTGTAAATGTATTCATACATCGGGCGCCATGCAACGCACATGCTTTCTTCGGGTAGAGCTCTTTGTTTGCTACGACATGTCGCAGCTGTTCTGTTTTCTTTCTTTGGCACTGTCTTCAGCCTGAGAGCGCCTCCCAGAGTGGTCGGCACTAGCACGTAGCTGCAGTCTCACAACCAGCAGAAGTAGCACTTGAGAATTTCAGATCACTTCCTGTCCTGGACTCTCAGCCAGCCTTATGGGGCCTCGCATATCGTTTCCAGGGTTGTGGCTGAGCCTTGTTGACTGGCTTTTGCTACTGGCCCGTTCCGAAATGTGCTTTTGCCTCACCGCTTTCTTGGCGTTTCCGTTCCGCCTATTTTTTGTTCAGTGCATGGCTACTCCTTCTGGTTGCGGGCCTTCAAAGAAAGCCCTTTCGATGCAAGTTCAAGATCAGAGCCGAGGAAGCTGCAGCGGATTGGTGCCCTGCGAGACCAAGTGATGAGGATGGCGTCTTCAAGTCGACTTCTCGCCCGTGCTGCTGGCTATGCGGGCCGGCGATCAGGTGCGAGTCTTGTCCGTCCTACCGCCACGCCGATCCGGTGCGCTACTGTTTCTCTGACTGCTGGCCGAGCAACTGCGTTACCGCCAAGCAGTCGAAATCAGCAACGTCGATTATATGCTGCAGTAGCGGCAGTGGCTTCCACTGCTTCAGAGTCGCCGATAGCACAAGTTGCCCACTGTGGTGGCCACGAGCCGATACCGCTCTCCGATGCGGATGTACGCCGACTGTTGCGGCAACGCAACGTCGGGATCTCTGCGCACATCGACTCAGGCAAGACCACTTTAACGGAGCGCGTCTTATACTACACTGGGCGTATCAAGGAGATTCATGAAGTGCGCGGCAAAGATGCTGTCGGCGCCAAGATGGACTCGATGGAGCTGGAGAGGGAGAAAGGTATCACCATTCAATCGGCCGCGACTTTCTGCAGCTGGAAGGCAACGCCGCCGACGCAGACAGCTTCCATCTCTGGAGATGTCGCAACCATGGAAGCAGGTGCGGGGAAAACTAAAGAAGAATTCAACATTAACATCATCGACACTCCCGGCCATGTTGACTTTACGATCGAGGTTGAGCGTGCCTTGCGTGTGCTAGATGGTGCTGTACTCGTTCTTTGTGCCGTCTCGGGCGTCCAGTCACAAACGATCACCGTAGATAGGCAAATGCGAAGATACTCGGTACCCAGGATCTCCTTCATCAACAAGATGGACAGGCAAGGCTCCAACCCTTGGAGAGTCATCAATCAGATTCGCACCAAGCTTCGCATGCCGGCTGCAGCTGTGCAGCTCCCGATCGGGTCGGAAGAAGCATTTGATGGTGTCATTGACCTCGTCCGATGGAAGGCTGTTTACAACGAGGGTGTCAAAGGGTGAGCACTTCTAAAAGTCGACAGATGAGCCTTTGATTGATGGCTGTCCCCTTTCCTCGCAGCAACGAGATCCGAGAGACAGAAGATATCCCTGCGGATCTGCTAGAACTTGCCAAGGAGAAGCGTGCCGAGCTAATTGAGCAGCTCGCCGAGATTGACGATGAAATGACCGAGATTTTCGTAGAGGAGCGCGAGCCCACGATCGACGAGCTTGCTGCTGCGATTCGCCGGTCCACTGTTGCATGCAAGTTTTCCCCTGTCTTCATGGGATCCGCCATCAAGAACAAGGGCGTCCAGGCCATGCTCGACGGTGTCTGCAATTATCTACCCAACCCAGCTGAGGTACCCGCGACGGCTCTTGACATGAGCCCTGCCGCCCAGCGTAAGACCGTGGAGGAAGCAGCTGAAGGAGGAGAGGATGTGGCAGCTGGTAGGAACGTCTCCAAGTCCGAGCCTCCGACTGTATCGCTGGCACCTGCAGCCGAAGCCCCTCTTGTCGGTCTAGCGTTCAAGCTGGAAGAAGGGCGTTACGGACAGCTGACCTACATGCGTGTCTATCAAGGTACTCTCCGCCGTGGCAACCTCATTTTCAATGCCCGCACTGGCAAGAAAGTTAAGGTGCCTCGCTTGGTGCGCATGCACTCAAACGACATGGAGGATGTGGAAGCGGTCGGTCCAGGCGAGATTTGCGCCATGTTTGGTGTCGAATGCTCCTCAGGCGACACATTCACCGATGGCACTACGACATTGAGTATGACCAGCATGTACGTTCCAGAGCCGGTCATCTCACTCGCCATCCACCCGGAAGGCAAGGAGGCCTCGCAAAATTTCTCGCGTGCGCTCAATCGCTTCCAGAAGGAAGACCCGACATTCCGCGTCCACATTGACCCGGAGAGCAACGAGACTATCATTTCGGGCATGGGCGAGCTCCATCTGGAAATCTATGTGGAGCGCATGCGCAGAGAGTACAATGTACCATGCACCACCGGCAAGCCTCGCGTCGCATTCAGGGAGACTATTTCTCAACGGGCCAACTTTGCTTACACGCACAAGAAGCAGAGTGGTGGTGCAGGTCAGTTTGGCCGAGTGATGGGCTACATCGAGCCTATGAGCATCGACGAAGAGACGGGCAAGGACGTCGCTTTCGAGAACCGCGTTGTTGGAGGCTCCATCCCTAACGGATACTTCCCAGCCTGCGAGAAAGGATTCCTCGACGCTCTCGAGAAGGGGGCGCTGTCGGGCCACCCAGTCACCGGTGTCCGCTTCGTTCTGGAGGACGGTGCGGCGCACAGTGTCGATTCTTCCGAACTCGCCTTCCGACTCGCCACTGCAGGCGCCTTCCGCGAAGCGTTCCAGAAGGCAACGCCTGTCATCCTGGAGCCGCGCATGTCTGTCGAAGTCACTGCGCCGACCGAGTTTCAAGGCGCTGTTATCGGCGCGCTCAACCAGCGCAAGGGCACGATCGAGGACACGGATGTTCGGGAGGAAGAGTTCACACTCACCGCCGAGGTCAGCTTGAATGACATGTTTGGATACTCCAGCCAACTGCGTGGCTTGACACAGGGCAAGGGAGAATTCTCGATGGAGTACAAACGCCACGAGCCCGTCATGATGAACATTCAGAAGGAGCTGCAAGAGGGTAAGTTCGCGCTTCTTCTCCATCTTCGTGCTGACTATGTGATGCTGACAGACTTCTTTAATTTTGAACAAAACAGCTTATCGCAAGAAGCAATTAGAGAAAAAGTAAAGCGCGCTCAATCGGTGCACGCAAGCTCGAGCATCTGTAATCATAGAGGTTCCTCCATCGCAACTGAGTCGATCCCCCGCCGTAGCAACTATGCGATTCGGATGAGCTCTGTGGCTCGAATGCTTGAAATGACAAGCGCAAGGCAACCTCGAACCGATACGTCGAGCGTTGGCAGGCAAGACGTCAGCTGACGATTAAGGTCATCAAATGCATCTAATTAGAGGACGTGTGATATGAAGGAAGCCGGAGGTGTGGACGCGTGTCGCGGCGCATCGCGTGAGACCCTCCGCATGTCGCAACTCGCGTCTCCACCTTCCAGTCATCCAGATTCCAGTTGGTGAGAGACCAGTGCAGGATATGTGTTTCTGAGTCGAGTTGTTGTCATGAATCCACGACTTGAGCATTTCAAGTATGTGTCTTCGCTCTGCATCCTCACTTCACTTCCGACCCGTTGCATAGTTGACGCACGTCCGTCACCGGATCTGCAACCAGGGTCTAGCAAGCGGGCTGGCCTTGAAAACCGTCGCATGCCTTGATCCATCTGGAGATCTGCTCCTACTGAAACACCCTGACGGAACCGCGAAGTAATTAGAAGACCTGAGCGGTATCCTTCGCCTGGTACCAACTCTTGGTTGTCGTCGCATACTATTCCGATACGCTTGCGAGAGGAAAATTGCATGAACAAATGACGGGCTGATGCCTAACATGTACATGATGCATCAACACCTCCGCAATGCTTGTCACGAAGCTCCACCAGCGACGGACCTAGTTGGCGCAGAACAACGAGAACGCTTTCCTGATTCAGGGGCCATCCTTCCCACTAGCGACAATCAATGCTTCTCGGGCGAATGTCAAATCGCAGAGGAAGTGCTCACTGCAGCGTCAGGCTTGTGGGACAAAGGCCATGGGTTCAATGATTCTCCTCACTCCCCAGGAGACACAACGCCCCCGAAACCTAGCTATATGCGCGTATTTACAGACGAGATATGGTCTCTTCGCCAAGGAGACGCACAGGAAAGCGTTCCAGTTATGCAACACTCCTATGCTCGCAACTTTGCTGAAGTACAACCGAGTCCCAGCCCGAAGCGGTCTATGGCCCCATCAACGCCAACTTCACGTCGCGGACTTTTTTCCTCTGATGTCTTCCTCACCGCTTCCCTTGGCCAAATGGAAGAGCCTTCACAGAATGGCGAACACGATCTTTCTCCCCGGTGTGGGTTGCTTCCCTTGCCTTCTCGCTTCTCCCCTTTTCTCGAACTATCTGCCGACTTTGCGGACGAGCAAGGAGAAAGAATGCTGAGTCCTCTTAGATCATTCATTACCCCGTCGAGACTCTGGCGTAGGCCCAGCACCTTTGACGTGCGTAGCTTCCCTTCAAGCTACTTTTTAGGTGCTGATTGCGTCTACTTTCAGGCGAATAATGACTCCAAGGATCTGCTCAATACGCCTCGTGCACCGTCTCGCTCTGACTCGGCAGGTTCCATGTCAAGCGTGGGGTTATTCTCTCCTACTAAAGCTGTCCATCACAGAAGAGAGAAAGGTGCATCAAGCGTGGCCCTAGATCTTCTTTCTTCTCCCTCGCCGGGTCATTTTGCTGCTTTTGAAACTTATTACGGGCCCGCCGCTAAACAGCCAGACGGTCAGACGGGACACGATGTGTGCAGGCTACCCACAGAGTGCGCAGCTCCATTTTATCTGTTTGCAGACCAACAGACCCAGTACGACATGGGAAACGAAAAAGACGTGGGCCAGTTGAAGACTCCACTGGAAGGTGCCAATGATAAATCAAGGCAGGGCGGTGCTGCTTTCCGGCGTTTTAGAGTCAAGCCTCCTCGCCCCCCGATCCATTATTCCACCTCAGGACCGCACATGAGTGCAAAGGGGAGCACGTCGTCTTCGGTGATATCGTCCAACAAGAACAGACGCGTCCCTATTAGCAAAAATCCCGAGCACAGACGTCTAGCGACCATCGATGAGGATGCATTGTCTCTCTCAGGTCCCGCTTTGCCTCATGCACCTGTTTCACACTTGCGCAGCTCCCAGGCATACTATCTCACGCGTGGTCAGCGTCGAGCTTACGAGAAGGCCTTTAACGACTCCGATGTGTCCCAGGATGACCATGATTCTATCGCGAAGATACTGATGAGCCTATCGTCACCGCAAGTTCCATCGCCGCCTGCTAAGAGACCTCGTCGCTCCGAGTTGTCTGCGCTGTCACGAGCCAATAAGGCAACTCACAACACTAGTTCACGACAGCAAATCCAATACCATCGAGACGAGAGCCCGTTATCATCACTGAGCGGAACATCGTCCGATGCAAGTGGGAACCAGAGTTTCAATATCCCCGACCAGGCTACGGGATCTTCGCAATCTTCTTTGAGCAAATTAAGCAGTGTCTCACAGCTCGAATTTTACAGGACGAGGCAGCCGGGCATGCGTGGCTTTCCTGATTCTCTCCCCCTGTTGAAGGGATACGAACGCTTCTACCAGCAGTACACGCTTGTCAGCCAGGTCGGTTTTCCAGGTTCTGACATCATGACGAGCGTGTATGATGACGCCGCCTCAGCTGGACTGAGCGACCGTGCAAACACAGCAAAAATGACCTTCGGCGGCACATGGAATCCACCCAAGTCTGTGTTCGATCTCTATACTCCAAGATATGTGTCGGGAACCGGGATCTCCAAAGAAGGTCGGTGCTATGCGCAGTTCTAATAAGGCTTCTGCTGACAAATTGCATCCGCCCACTCTTACAGGGCTGTGCCCTATCTGGTCGGTCGCTGGCCTTCTTGACATATCTATTACGGCAGCTAACTTCTTTTACGCGGAACAGCATTGACAGTGGCGTCAAGTTGTGGTCTAAAGTGAGCGTGCGTAGCATCAGATAGAAAAGCCATGCTGAACGCATTCGTTGCGCCTCTCTCCTTACTCAGCTCAAGTCGTCCGCGCACAATTACCACATGAACAATTTTCATGGCATAAGCTCCAACACGTGCAAACCATTTCCACCGCCTATCGGATTTCGTGTGCAGGCACGTACTGCAGCGTCCGTGCAAGAGAGAGACGAGATCGTTCAGGGGAATTGTAAGCCGGCGCCAAAGTATCCGTCACGGTGCACTTTACCCGTTGCTAACACCATCCGGTCTGCTCTTGATCCAGGCGGAATTTGCAAGAAGTGTGCGTTCGAATGGTGATCTGCCATCTGAAGGTTGCTTCACTCACTGAAGAGCCTTCGATCATTTCGCAGGGGTCGATATTGAGGGGATCAAGCGTGGGGCTGTGAAAATTCCAGAGATTTACTGGTGGTGAGCTTCAGCAGTGCGAACGAACGAATAATCAGTAAGGAGAACTGTCAACGAGCTCATCGCTCAAAACCTCCTTCACCTACTAGGAAGCATGCTCAGCAGTGAGCGACACACTTTTCCTGCGTGCATCTGCTGAGATGCTGACGGTTTCTTTGCCCGACGTTCGCTGTACAGATGTCACAACAAGCATCCAGAGAAGATGCAAGATCCCGAAGGCGTCTTTAAAGAGGATGCCGTGAGTCGAAGCTTTGTGCATGGGGTCCGTCAAGACCTCTTCCTCACTATTCGTCTGGTCCGCATATTCCTCAGTTGTTCAAAAAGGTCTCCGCTTTCGTCGCAAGACACGGTGACCCCTACTAATGTTGAGAAACAGCACAAGGCTACCCAGAAGAAATGACCAACAAGGCGCATTCGCATTCACATTTGCATTCGCATTCCGAGCAGCTCAAGGCTATAGATGCAAACTCGTCACTCAGTGAAACCATTAGAGATATGGTTCTGTCGATTCCGGCTACAACAATGTCCTTTCCATTTGCATAGCACGCCTACATAATATACAAATCACCTGCCTAAAATGTGTTTGCAGGTCGAAATACTTGCGTGAAAAGTCGTCTCGGGGGACGGTACGATGTGATGCGAGGCGCGACGGGAGCAAGAAGACCACAGCGTTCGTCGTAAGTTCTGGGACATTAGAATCGAAGACCCGAAGCGATATTCGCACGGTATCTAGTCGGTCGAGTAGCCTAAGAGCCTTCCTTACTGTTGTCCTTGAGAACGATCCAATTGCTGTCATCCGAAGCGTTCGATGAGTCAGCGCCACGCGCGCTCAAGCCTGAGACTGTGTCTCTACCGGCGCTAGATCCCGATGCATCGACATCGCTGCAAGTCACAGCGCCAGAAGTGTAGGGCATGCCAGCTATTGCGGGTATGGGCCGGTGGCCGTAGCTTGGGATACCGCTCGAGGTCGGTAGCATTGGATCGCCGGGGTCATGTTGCGCGTCGCATCGCATGCGTCGGAGCATCTCTTCAAAAGCGCTGCCCAACCCTTGGTTCACGTTCTCCCCTTCAGCGTTGGATTTGTTGCTCCATTCCTCGTTGTCGGGCGTCACAGATGAAGAAGAAGATGGGTGCTCCTCTTCTGCAGCACCTGCTGCTGCGGATCCCTCGCGCGGTTTGCCCTTGTCGACAGAAAGCGTAGCGCATGAGGAGGATTGAGCTGCGCTGGAGGAAGAGGGCCTCTCAGCGGACATCTTCGACATGTGGTGTGAGTGGTATGGTAAGGGCGCAGCCGTGCTGCGCGTTTTGGCAAGCATCTGCTTGAATGCATCTTCCAAGCCAGCGTTCAGTTTTGCGATCCGCTCGGTGTCACCTGCCTCCGCTTCTTTCTGGTCCACTGCAGCTGGGGCGGGCTTCACATCATATGACTTGTCAGCGCTGGTATGTGCGGCTGTCTCGGAAGCGGTAGAAGTGGATCCGCTCGCAGCGGCAGCGGCTGAAGCACCTTGAGTCTGCTTTCGATCATCTTCCGCATCGTTGGGTATGACCTGGACGCTTTCTCGGGCCGCAGCATGGGCATACATCTGTCTAGCATCTGCGGATGGTGCTCCTTGCATCTCGGCGAGCCGACGAGTCCAAGCATCGGCAAGGTAGTCGTTCACTTGCCTGACGTGCTCACTGCCTTCGTGGTGTTGTTCCGGTTGATGTGGTTGCGATTGCGATTGTTGTATGGATTGACTCGATAGGACAGGGGCTCTGGACTGCGATGAAGCAGGTATGTCCGATGGAGTGGTCGTAAAGCCAAAGTTTGCCGAGGCAGGAGCATTGGAAGGTGCAGAACACTGCCTATCTTGCTGCTGCTGTGGCACACCCGTTCTGAAGGACTCCCACAGAGACTCCACCGGGGGGGACGACATTGACGCCGCTTCCGAAATGCTGGGCGGCATTAACCCGCTAGAGGAATCTCCCAGCCCCACTGTAGCCCGGCTGCTAGGATTCTGAACCGCACGTATCACAATGTCAAGACCGTGCATCAACACGCCTTGGACAGCAGGTGTGGCGGCAGTTGCGCTCACGAGACGCAGCATGCTGTCTGCGAGGTTGATGAAGTTGACGGCCGAAGACGACGAGGATGGCGGTGGCGAGGAAGAACTTCTGGTACCCTGAGACGGGCTTTGACTGGGTTGCTGCACGTGCACCGGTGCCGCGTGATTGCCTTGGACTGAGCCTAAAGCAGCCGGGTTCGCTCGTGTGTGCTGTAAGCCTGCACCGGCGCTCTGGACGGAATTCAACTGGACTGGGAAGCCACCAACTGCTGCAGGCGCGTTCCGAACGCTGGATCATGCAAAAAGGCAAGTGCGAAAACAATATGCGCGCCGTCAGCAAAATAAATCTACAGCAAAGCGCTAATTGTATGCGACTCACGTAGTCGTCGAAGTGTCTGCTCGAGCCAGATTAGCCATTGGCACTGCCGTCCCGGGCCTCGATGCGACTGTGGCGGGTGCCTCGATATTCCTGACAAATACTTCAAATACTTTGCGAGGCGTCATGGGCAAGTCTGTCGGCGAGAAGATGCCCATAGCATTATAAGGCGGGGGCGGTGCTGCATTCGGGAAGCCGAAAAGTCCGCCGCCAGCACGAGAGCTAGCATTATTGTTGTCATTGCTCTCCTTGGGTGGATGAGCGGGGAAGAGGTGCCAGAGGAGCGTCCACTCCTCCTCGGTATCAATGACGATGCGCTTCCGATCATGTTCACCCGCTTCACGTTCCTGATGCTTTGACTCGGGATTCGCTGACGCCGAGGCCACAGACTGATGAGCGTAACCTGGGCACAAGCCCTCAGCTGAGCGCGCGCCAAGGGCATTCGGCTGCTGTTCTGAGGCGTGACTGGACGCAGGCTGGGCTGGCAAAGCGTCATAGATCAAGCTGATCCTGTACTTGTCCGTCGGCAGAGCCCACGCCTTGCTGATCGCAGCGGAGACGGCGGACCATGTGGAGACTTTTGGCGTGCGCGAGATCTGGTTATTGACTGTATGCTCGAAGACGCCGACTTGGTGCAGACGATGCAACTTGGCTTGGCCGTTGCCAGTCGGCCCAGGGCCAACCTGTGAGGAGGATAGGCCCAAGGCGGGTAGGGCGGAGCTGGAAAGCGTCGTTTCGATGACCAGTGGCGGGTTGACACGATGGACGACACTGGTGGGTGCAATGTGCATCGGTGTGCTGGCGATGGTGCCAGCCCGGTTGGAAACGGCGAAGCTGAATGCAGGTCGAGGGGCAGTTGTGCTGGCGCCGGGACCTGGTCCTGATGAGTTGGTACCAGCGCTAGCGGCAGTCGGCAGGCTGCCGCTACTGCCCCAGGGTGGAAAAGCACTCATGGCGATGACGGAGCGGTGCCACTTGACTTGGACGTGGGCCGTGTGACTTTCGTATCACCTGCAAGAAAGTAGGACAACGTCGCGCAGAACCTAGGGCAAGGCTGCGCAGGCAATTGAATGGCGACGCCAGCGACCGTGGACCAGTCGGTCGAGGGCTGCTATTATTACCAGGCTCAAGCTCGAGCCTGCCTATCGAGCGGCCTACATACTACCACCATGAGGTTACAACGTCCTTATTGACCATGGGTGTGTTCTTTTTGCTGTGGGGATGAGGTGTGGCAGATGATGGTAGGCGGGGCTGTTGGATGAGGTGGATGGGTGTTTGTTTGCCCGCCGACCACCAGCCAAGCAAGGCGGTGGGGATTGTAGGGTTATCGACCCTCGGAACAGCAAGTCGCCGCACCACCCACCATCCCCATCCCCGCACACCTCCAACTCGCCGCATTGCCCACCCACACAGCTCAACGAACGCACCCTATTGACCACTCACCAGAGAGAGA